AAAAAACCTCTTTTTGGTGGACATTACAGCCAACAACTTGCATTTACTACAGAGAAGTAAACAGTTGTGAAGTATTTGGGAAACAAGATGTGAATAATCACAAAATTGAAAAACTTTAAAAGGCAGCAGGAGCTGCTTCTGTAGAGCAAAGGYGCAAGAGGAAAGAATGTGAAAGAGYAAGAGCGAGYTACGGAGACTTTCAGAAATGGAAAGTTAAACTTCAAATGATTAATGCTAACTAAATGAGACAGACGAGTTGAAGTAGCTTGATGCAACTGAAAGCAAACACCTGGAACGGTTTTAATTAGTATGTAAATCAGTGCCGGAAWTTTGGATCAAGTCCAGCATTCTTTAATCGTTATCGGACAAAAAGACACGGGACGTCCTCGGTACCACACAACTACAGCTCGGTTATAACAACGGGAGGAGGATCCGGTACATGTCCTAAACACTGAATACACAGCTGTCACGGTCACCCGCTCCACCGGGGCAGCTTCATGGGACCCACGGCAGCTGCTACAACGAATCCCTAAAGCCCGGGAGGGTTTATTTGCTCTTCCTTCCCACAGAGCAGCCCGGCCTTCCTGTGCCTCCCTTCAGAGCCCCTTGCCCTCCTGCCCGGGCAGCTCCCCCGGCTCCTCCCGGGCGCTGAGGCCGCCCCCGGGCCCGCACTCACGGCCACGGCCGCCCCCGCCCGCGCTCGGGGCCGCTCGGTCCCCCCGGCCCGCACTCACAGCCGGCGCAGCGCCCCGAGGCAGCCGCGGCCCCGCTCGGCCGCCACCAGCGCCATGTTGGGAGCGCGGGCGGCAGCGGGGAAAGCCCTCAGGGGGGCGGGAGGGGGCGGAGGGAGCGCGTCACGGGGAGGAGAGCCGGCCTGAGCCCCGGGCCGAGCGGGGAGATGGAGCGCCTCACGGGGAGGAGAGCAGAGCCGGCCTGAGCCCCGGGCCCGAGAACCGGCCTGAGCCCCGGGCCCGAGCGGGGAGAGGGAACGCCTCACGGGGCGGAGAGCAGAGCCGGCCTGAGCCCCGGGCCCGAGCGGGGAGAGGGAGCGCTTCACGGGGAGGAGAGCAGAGGAGAGCCGGCCTGAGCCCCGGGCCCGAGCGGGGAGAGCCGCGGAAATGGCTGTGGGGGTGGGACTGAGAAACGGCGCTGAGAGGCAGAGGGAACAAATTTTATTTAAATATTAAACGATGGGCGCCGCCGAAAGGCTGCCGGCCCTGTGGGTGCACGGGTTCAGCTGAGCGTGTTCTTTAAGGAATGACATCCGGGCTCGTAACGGGACAGCSACACACAAACGTGAGGGTTGGTGGGAATGGCGCGGGCATCCTCACACAACACGTAACACATCTCTGTGCCCCGCTCCCTGCATCAAAACCGTGCAGATGGAAGACACAGTGGTGGAATCACTAATCACGGGATCAGTTACACTCCCTCAGGCTTTGAAGGTCATAGAGCCACCGAAGATCTGGCCTGGAAGGGGGCTTAAAGTTCATTTCCTTCCAACCCGCTGCCATGGGCAGGGACACCTTCCAGTAGCTCGAGTTGCTGACAACTCCATCCAGCCTGGCCTTGGACACTTCCAGGGATGGGGCATCCATAGCTGCTCTGGRCAGCCTGTGCCAGGGCCTCTCCACCCTCACAGGGATTAATTTCTTCCCARTATCCGTCAGYTTAAGGCCCAGCCCACCCAGGTGTGGGGCCTTGCTAAACCTGCCCAGCCGCAGCACAATCAAAATAAGTATTTTCAGCTGTTGTTTATAAGTAGCAAAGCAGCGGTGCTATCAGTTGCAATAGTGGTAGTTTAATGTCTGACGTTTTCTCCATACTCTGAAGCAGTAACAGTTTCTCATACAGAGAGCATTTTCGGTATGCAGGAAATCTCTGCTTGCTCCACTGTTGCTATTTTTACTTTGCCGTGGTGACCCCTCACACCAGGGACTGGATGGTTCAAGGAGGTTAAACAGACACTGGATCAGCTTGGGGAAATCCTACAGTCCCTTGGACCTGACTGCACGAGGGATCAGCGCCTGCTCTAAGGATGAGAGTTTAAAAATTAAATTATTAAGTGGAGCTTCCACTTCTCCATAATTCATACACTCCAATCTTCGTTGATATAGTATGCTGACAGCGTGGATCCTTTTGGAATCCAGATTTTTGCCTTTTGGAATCCAGATTTTTAAGATTTCATGTTTGTCTTAAACACAAGATGGCAGCATTTTATATAGTTTAGCTGTTGGACATTGAGGAGAGCTATAGATATTTTACAGTACATAAATCAGAGGTGGCAGGGGAGTTGATGCTTTTAGCAGTAGAACAAATGGAAGTGGMAAACTCATTTATTTTGCGAATCTGCTCTTGGTGAAGGCATCCTGCCAGCAGGGCTTTTAGGGCCTGCAAAGTCAAATGGGGTCACCAGATTGCACATGCAGATGTTTGAAAGTGCAGTGTAATAGCTTAAATGCAGAAATAATAATTTCCTCACTGACACCGGTAACAYGTTTGATGTGCCTCTGTAGACAGAGGCACTCTGGTGAACCTACTGATATAGTGGATAGGTTGGAAASWTTTTTTTTTTAATTTTATTGTGGAAGCCAGGCATATTTTGAAAGCTGCTTTGATTAATAATTTGAGTGATTTTCTCATAACAATTTTTTCCATGAGCAGATTGTGAAAAATGTAATTTGAAATATTAATTCATTTTCCTTGAGCAGATGACAAAAGCGTCATTCCATGGCAAAATGAGGTTAAGCATTGGCTGGACTCATGATTCATAGTCTTCAAATATTTTTGTGATGTAGGAAAGTCYCAGGCAAACTGAGATTCAAAACCAAGAGGTGTCTAATAAACACAGATATCGTGACACAGATTGAACACTTTCTTTTTTCCCAAGACATTTATTTTGTTTCTGCATGTTGGATATGCAACTTGCTCCATTCTTAAATTGTGAAGAAAGAGCTAAGTAAATGAGTCAATTAGTTCSTAATTTAATAAAGTACTTGGGACCAACCAATTCCATAGGCAGTAAGACTCACAGAAAAAGAGAAATGTATGTTTTGTGACATTTTGTGGCTAGCTGGGAAARCCCAGCTGCTGATGAAAGCCCAGCAGTGTTATGTTGCTGTAGCTGATAATCTTCAGACCCACAGACCCTCGCTTTGTTGGCATGCAATGGCCACGCAATGGGCGTGAGGAATATAAAAATACTCATTCTGTTTTCTTCTAAACATTCTGATGTAAATGTTTCTTCCACAAATTCCAAACTTTTGTGCCTCTGGGACAGTACAGGGCATGACTCACATATAGGGGCTTTTTGCCTTTAAGTAAAAATGGTTGACTCTTCCTCCATTTGCCACAAACCCTTGTCAAGAGAGAGAGAATTTTGAAATGTCAGCAGCCTTCGAGGACSTACTTCACACACACAAATGTGTATGTACCAGCCCTGTTTATAAAACATAAACAAGTGAGGAACCTTGCCCAMTAAATAGGTGAAAATCTGTCACCARATTTAACATTGTACCAGACAAGTGCCAAAGGGCAGAGCAGACTGCCCCTGCTCTCCAGGCAGCCCTGGTTTTCTCCTGAAGGACAAATCAAGGGGCTTGCAAAGTTTTCACCTTGTGACATTRAATTATCAATCATGTAGGAATGTSCACTGACACCGGAAATTAGGTGAATAATAATTCTGGCATTTTATCCCTGAGGGAAGTTATGGCTCCTCTGCYGYCCTCACTGGCACTTCTCAGCCAAGYTCCTCAGTCAGCTGCTGGCAGCAGAGATTCGTTTTTCTCCCCCAACTTTACCACATCTTCTGCTTTCCTGGAGTCCATCTAACAACTTTTGCTTCATGAAGAGCTCAAAAAGTGAGACTCACTCAGCCATTTGAGAGGTAAAATCATTGCACAGCAAACACATGCTAATGATTAAATACAGCCTTTATTACAGAAACACCAATAACAGAAAAATAAAGATCGTRTCTTACTTCTCATAGCAAGTTATTTTTAGCAGCCATACATTATAGCAAGCTAGAAGTGATCAGTCAAACCATGTTCAGACACCCAAGRTGCCAATCTACATCTCCCTTCCTCTTTTAATTGAATTAACAGCTATTTCTTAATTTGGGCTTGTCCATTAGAGAACAAAAAGGAATGAAAGAAATTAAACCTTGCTTTATATACTCCTCAGTGACCTAAGTGTGACATCATCACACTGCAGCCTTGTCCCCTCCCACAGCAGACAAAACTGCCCTGCTGCCCGTGCTGTGACCACTATGGCCCACCTAGTTTGCAGGTAGTTTACCAAATATCCTCTTTTTGTATGGTGTTCTATTAGGGATTATTTRTTCAAGATGTTTCCTCAGACAAGAAGTTTAAAAGAGTAAGTTTGGCAATACCAACACCAATTACCCTACAGAGTTTTCCCAATAAGAGGAAGACCTCAAAATCACTCCATTAGATTAAAGAGTACCAGCTAAATACACTCCGAAATTCTGGAACAAAATAAATACAGGTGTCAGCTTTTAAAGCTGCACAGGGACCAGCTGAGCTATCTGATTTTAATTCAGCATTAAATTTGGAGAGGCAAAACKCCCTGCTGTGCTGACACATCTCTGGAGCAGACTGGTTGGGTTTTGGGATCAGGGATGGAGGTGATGGGATGCAGGCGGGCCACAAGGGGGAGAAAGGTTGCACTTAGAGGCTGGGATCTCCTGCTGCAGTAAGGAATTCTCCAATGGATACTCTACTAGTGTTAAGCACTAACTCCATTGGATTAATTTTGCAGCATTTCCTGGGACCATCCAATTGTTTCATTGTTTCAAGTGCACACGTGCACTTCACCTGTGCCAGCCAGAGCAAGTCTAGAGTATCATTTATGTACAAAGGGCACAATGCAGCTACATAAAAACAGCAAACAAATAATAGCAGGAAAAAGCATAAGAACAAATCAAGTAAACSCGAATCCAAACATTGTTTWATACCAACAGGTTGATTCGCTGYAGAAAGAAAAAAAAACTGGGGRGRAATCTTTCATCACTGGTAAAAATGYCAAAAGATGTCACAATATTAAAAACAGAATTAGCAGGCATTAATAAAACATTTCTGTCCTCATCCTCATTAAACTTTTTTAAAAGATTAATAYGTAAAATCCAGTGAATATTAACATAAAGGAATTTTTCGGAACAGAACAAGCAAATGTTATRTCCGTGTCAGTAGAAGTAACAGAGATCATGGAAACCAACAATCCAAAGAACATGAGAAATGGGACTCAGCTTTGAGTGGCAGAGATGTCTATTGATCACTGGGCAGAACAGCTCAAGGTCAGACCATGTGCTGAGGTTTTTAGGCATAGTTTGTTGTTAAAATGTCCACATGTAGCAGTCTGGGACTGTACACTCCTACTGCAGGCTCATTTTTAGATGGAAGCTCTTCACACATTTACTTTTCCTCCCAGACATCTCATTTTTTAAAAAAATGTGAATGCTTTAGTTCAGTATAAAAACCTGCTTTCTAAACAACTGATTRATAGTGGTAACTAATCCCAAGAAGSAGAGGGATCTTATTAGGCSCAAGGTCTGAGTCCAGTGTCTGCTTGTCTAAGGGGGAAAGGAGGAAGGGAAAATGAGCTCAATAAATCTCACTAAGCATTATGAACAGTGCTGGAGCCCTTTACAGAACAATAACTGAAATACTTACATTTCAATTTGTGTATCCAACTGAATACAGTTCAAACACTGTAYCTGTATTCAAGGCTTGGAAGTCTGGTATTCCATTTCTTCTGCTATTTTACCTTATAAATACATTCAGCTGTCCCTGTGCTCACAGCTGGTTCTTTGTTCTGATGTTTCTCCAAGTGYAAAAGTGCTTCAAAATTGTCTTTATCTCTTTTTTATTGGTTCATTCAGACTCAAAGGGAACATTTCTGGAGAATGTTAATTACTTCCACAGCCACATATTTTATTGGTTATAGAACAGTATGACCATGTTTCCTGCTTCACACAGACCAGCACCTCTTGGTAATTCATGAAATAGAAGGATTCTTTTCTTTCTTAACTAAGTACATTTGCAATGGTTAAATACTATTAAATGTCAAAACTATTTTTAAAATACTTAAGGGAGTATCTGAAAAGACATAACTATCAGTTTTACCCAGTGAAAATCCAGTGAGGTTCCATCACCATTAATAACTGTGCAGGAATTGGGCCATTATTCATGAAAATTAAATTAGCTCCCAGCATTTCCATTTTATTTAGACACAGATTAAATTTTCAAGGTATTTTTGCATATGACTTGAGTCTWTCTTTTGTTTAATAAGTGCCAGTCCACAGACCTTCTCCAGGACAAAATTTTATTAATAAAATTGCAGCCATTTCCCTAACTCCTTGGGGGAAGTGTGCTCTTATTAAACATTATCTTCTCCTTTGCAAATGCTTTTAAATGTAATTTCTTACCATCTTGATGTCGTTTGCTTYAGTGAGCAGATTGTGGCACATACATGTGTTTGTTTACATGCACATTTGCACATAGGTTTGGCTTTGTAAATTTTCAGTGACAAGGCGCATTTCCTTGTAACAACGAAGAACATGAGCTGGACTTAATCTCAAAAGCAATTACTATTCTCATGCCTTCATCATTGATTTAGCAGGAAAYAGACTACAGAGCCTATCAATTAGTGTACTTTAAAGCAGCTCCAAATCATTTCCACATGAAAATCCAGCTGCTCAGCTGTGAGCACACTGGAGAACACTCACTTTTGGACAGGGAGTTTGTCCAAGGCCTTTACTTCCCACGGAAGCCTTGACCATACAGCATCAGTGGATTTCCATTTCTCATGGAAAGGTCTGTCCCAAAGGCGGTCACTTAATCCCAGGCATTTCCAGTGTGTGGCATCTCCCTGCATTAAGAGACCACCGTGCTGCTGTCTCAGTAGAGGGGCAGTTCCTGGGCTCACTGTGGTCACTGGGACAGGTCCATGTCTGAACAGGATGTGGGGATTCCTGAGCTCCCACAGGAACATGACATACTACGCTCCAGAGAAAGGATCACATATCACCACTGTGTCTTTGCAAAGGACTGAAAGGGGAAAACCCAGGCACTTAGGATACAAAACAGTGTKGTAGGACTGCTAAGAATGTGGTTATGAAAGGAGTCACACTGACATTTCCCCTGAGATTTTGGCACACACCATGTTCCCAAAAAGCTTTCAGTGAGCTCTTACTTACCAGGGAAGAGCTCTGTGGAAATAGAGCTGTGGACCTCTGGTTTATTCACCTGAAGGTCAGACTTATATCATTTAGTAAATCTAAACACTAGCATTAACAAACGTAATGGATTTTCTGGGGGATGGTGATACTGCTTGCTTTAAGCTATTTTTAGAATCTGACTTAGGTGATCTGAATGAYATCCCTTGTTGATAACAGAGAATTTAGGCTCCTGATTTTGGTCATCTGGACTACATCTAAATTAGATGCTAAGAATAGCCTAAAGTAGAGGATGTGAGTTCTCGCCTTCCCATCTTAAAGAAACTCCTTCCAGAAATATTCATTAGCTGTAAACACATGGTGTCATCTCACTTAAAAATGTGGCTTCAGGGCAGTGGGATTGCCAGGCAGAAGCAAAAACTCCTSTGACTTTTCTGCTTGCTGCACACATGTGAACGTGTACAGGCACCTCAGATGCGCTGATATCCTCTTTGTGGCTTTCTCCTGGAGATCAAGAAGGTGACAAACACAATGACAAACAATCCCAGGATACACAGGCAYACTGCAATGGGAGCTGCTTTGCTGCTTCTATCGAGAAAACATTCTTCTTCTGAAAGGAAAAGGAGATCAGAGAATGCGTTATAGCAGAACACCATACTCCTAGATTGTACATCTATATTCCAGAAAAGCTGGCAAATACAAGCCAGAAGTTCTCAAAACCTTGCTTTCTTTGTTTTCTTTTTCCTGAGCTATATTTCCATGGTGAACCTTAGCWCAAGAGAACTATCCTTGCCCTTTTTGCAGTAGACCTGTGCCTCCCTAGAGAGTGGCTCTGCTCCCTCATRTCTGCAGGAAAAGGTTCTGATATAAATCATATCTTTGAAGGACCATCCAAAGATATCGGTACAAACACACCTCTTAGTTACARAGAGCACAAATCCTGACTTCCTCAGCCAGTTCATACCCAAATGAATAGTCAAGTCATCCTCTCATTAAACAGAACCTTATTACTTTAAAGAGRGCTTCCAGACTGAGGTAAATTCACAGCTTTCCTAGGGAGAGGCTGCACCATGTGGGCCACTGACAGAAATGGAAAATTTACCCAGTAACAGTGGCAGGATCCATCTCAAATTCMAAATACAAGTGTAGCCCTGGGAGTGAAGGCAATGTCTGGGAACGGCCACTAATGTGTTATCCCAGACCTGGACCAGGCCTCCATATTCCATCTGATTTACAGGAATGGTCCTTCCTGGGGCTCCAGGGAAAGACACACCTCCATCACACCACTGTGAGAGGCACCTGCAGAGCAAACTGTCCTCTGAGCAGGGCAACGTGGTCAGCAAACCCCACAGCACATCCCAGGTCAGCAGTAAATCCAGTTCATAGCCAGGATATGAAGGATATCCAACACCCTGAGCCCCTCTCACTCCCTGTGGCTGTTCCAAGGCAGGTTTCAACAGCACTCTGAGATAAAAGCCTCGAGTGTTATTCTATGACTATGCTGGCACAGGCTGTAGCTTGGCTTGGGCTTTTCCCCATGGGAATCTTTTACACTGTCAGCAGGCAGTGAGCCCAGGGAACATGTGGAGTGCATGACATCATGTCACAGCTCCAGAGCCTCCACATGGCTCTTCCMAAAATCTGATCCTCTTCTGCTCTAATCCAGATGGTGATGCAATGCCACAAAGCCAAAGGCATGAGCATGCTACTAGAAGTTGTCTTTCAAAAGCTTTGTCTGGTTAACATAACCTGCTGTTAAATGAGCTGAAAAATATCTGCATCTAAGTGTTGTAAAAGCCAGAGATGTTTGAATTGCCTATTTTGCTTTGATGAAATGTTGGAAATAAAGGAATGAACTCTATGAACTCTAGAATTTTTTTCTGATACAYTGAGGTACAGAAGACCCTTTTACAGATTTCCAGACTCAAACAGATCAATCTACTGATGTAATGCTGCTGCAATACAAAATTCTAAGGAACTTGAAACCAGTGACCATTAATGTTTTCTTTTTCTTCCCCATTTAAAGATAAGCAAATCAAGAGCAACAGAAGTGAAACTATCAGTCTCGAGATACCCAAGGGGAGGAGGCTGATGATATGTTTAGTCATTCCTTCACCGGGGATTTTCTCTTTCAGAATCTGCATATGCAGCTGATACAAAACAGTTTCATGACAGTTTGTGGCCATTGGGGAATTATTTCAGWGGTGCTAGCTGCTTTCTCAGCTCTTTGATTAAGAGCAAAACTAATTTAAATTTATATATGTTATTGACTARCAGAGATTAGTCTGACCTTGGACAGAGAGAGAGAGAGGGAGAGACAGAGAGCATCCTTCTCAGTTGAGTCTCTCCTAGAGGTGAGGCCATACCTAATCCCAAAACTGAACTCATTCATTGTACGCATTTGAATGGGAATGGAGGGGACGTTGGCATCCCACGAGTTCTTCCAGTTCTTCAATATTATGCCATGAAAAAATTCTTCATGAGAATGAGAATATATAGATTGGATTCTCAGTGTGGCTTTTTAAAAGTCCATGTCTTWAAAAAAGCCCCAAATGTTGTTTCCCATTATATTCCTTTTAGAATAAGAAAGGAATCGAAATAGTGACAGAAGAGAAATTGGTCAAATAGAGCCAAACTGAGTCAAAAGACAGATCTAAAGTAAAAAAGAATACAGGGACAATATTTTGTAAGCACACAGAAAGACAAGTATCAGAAGAAGGAATGTTTTATTGGTGCATTTGAAAGACTGAAGAGCTGTTCAGCCTCTCTGTGCACCTGAGTTCTTGTATGGGAATGTCCTKAGAGGAAGCCACAGAAATGAGAAGATGGACAATTTGAAGGAGACCACCTAGTCCCCCTCTCTTGTCTTTTACAACRTATCTGGTTGCCTCTTTGTGGCACTTCTCCAAGAAAAGACAAATTGCAGAGATGAGCATCACGTTTAATTCTGAAGCTGGGAGTGGGCCAGTTTACTCCTSCTCAGGAGCACATTTCATCATGTCTAGACACAGCTGCTCTGAAAATATCATCCTGCATTCACAAATATCCCTTAGCTGGTAATTCTGCTGCTGCAGCTGTGGGACAATGTGAGTATCAGGAGCCTTTAAAAATASCTAAAATCTGACTATATTGAGAACAGTGACCTGGAACTCAACTTCACATGTTGGGTTTTTGAGCAGTGCACTGGTGGTGAACACACCTCTGCTTGCTTTGGAGAAAATGGGTGAAGAATAAARTTGTGGCTGTAGAGCTGAACAATTTTAATGAGCAGATAAAACAGAAGGTACTGAATGCAGGAGGGAAAGATACTTTTCCATCCTCCATGGGTATTAGCATTGTGTTGGAAACGACTCAGGAAAGGTTGAGAAAACAGCAGTGGGATGTGCATGGGTAGAGTTTAGCAAATTACATCCATCAGGCCACTGAGTGCTGACATGTAGGTCTGGGAAGGRTGGAAAGGTGTCCCTGTACTCACCGTTTCCAAACTGGTTATCAGCAATGTCAAATGCCTGCAGCTGCACATGAACAAAGAGGATCTGGAAGTTCCTCTCCAAGGTGAAGGTTTGCCTGCTGGCACATTTGAAGGAATTCCCCAGCTTTGTTGTAAACAGCTTCTCATTTAGGACTGCGAAATAAAGCATTCCTGGAGGCCAGAGAGAGACAGATGAGAATCCACATTAAGTCTGYTGGAACCAACATCTTTCTGAGGTAAAATGGAGGATCCCCAGTATTTTGGCACAGCAGYAGTCACAGAGGTGATTAAAGCATGGATATTTTCTCCATAAATGATCATTTGTTTTTGTTACATGTTTAAATRAGTGCTTTAACTATCAATGCTGAGCTTAGGTCTGAAAAAGTGGCTACAATTTCAGATAGTTCTTCAAATCACATTTTAACAAATCGAGTTTGCAAGAGGGGGTTAAAAGTCTCACAGGAGCAGACAGGTTTGAAGTAATCTCTATTCTGAAAGAGTGGGGCAAGAAAAGAAATCACAAAGAAAACGATAGTGATTAAACTGCTGTTGGGTCCCTTCTCTTCCATTTTTATACCCTAAGATTTAGGTGAATGACACATTGAAAGCTTGATAAAACACATATTTACAGACTCCAATGTTTCGAAGATATGAAAGCTTATCCCACCACAAAACAATTCAACATGAAATTAAGACTGTAAAATCACTGACCTTCAGAAGAAAACTGTATTCTGCTATCAATTTTACTGACAAAGTAACTTGGAGCTTGCTGCAAAAGAAGGTATATCTTTATTAATAATATATATTTGTACYTGTAGGGAAAAGAAACTCAGCTCACCATAGCAAAATGGTCATAAAGAATTTCCCAAAGAAACACATTGCAAAGCATCACCTTTGAGACCCAAGAACCAACCCTCTTGGATGTATTTTTCTTTTGCAAATCTCAGATCACCAATTCTGCTCAGTTCAGTGAAATGAGACCATGCAGGTGTCATTTTATACAAACGACTCAGGCTGGATAATCACGAGATACTTGTGATAACTAMAAGTAGGAGGACTGCTGACATGGAAAGCACCTGGCACAACAGCACAGAACAAAACTTCCAGCCAGGTGTCCTGCCTGCACGTGTCTTGAAACCCTGGTGCAACCTGGACACCGCCCTYCCCTGGAGTGTCACAGGGAGAGAGGCAGCCCTGGGAGCTTCCCTGGTWGCAGTGCTGGAATGTGATGTGATGTGATGGCAGCCCTGCTGCCCAGTTTAATTCCAGCTGTGAGCACACAGGGACTGGTGAGTGCAGCTGGTGGATAAATGGCAGGAGACACAAATGTCTCCTGTGCACCCTGGTAGGAATGGAGTGGGAAAATTGAAGAAAGCAATACACCAGAGAAGAGGTTCTCRGCATTATTCCAACTGAAGGACATGAATAGGTGAAATATGACCATTTTGGGTGGCAGTGATATGTTCTGCTTGGTCACAGTWAAAAACTTTGCTAGTGGAAAACACCTGCTCCTACTTCATGTCTTGTGGGTTGGTTACACAACTTCCTTTTTTCAAGCCCTTTGCAGAAGCCACTGGAGTGGTGAGCAATGAACCTGCCACCCCTGCCCCAGGACCTGAGCCAGCTCCTCTCCCACCAGGGACAGGCACAAGTGCCACTGCTGGAACACTCCTGCTTCAAAGCACTGAGAGAGGCTGTGGGGACCAAACACATAAAAGCCAGCAGCATGATAATTTCTTATTAACTTGAAATTCAAAGCAGTCCAAGCTGAGCCTTGCTATGCTCTTGAGGCTTATCTTTAAGTGGAGAGTGGATTGTCTAATGCCGTGCCAAAAAACACCTTTTTCAGGGCAAGGCAGGTCAAGCACCTCCTAAAGGTTCACGTCAGCCTCCTTAGCACTGCTGCAAGCTGGGGCTTTCATGGGTACTTGAATCCCCAGCCTTTCTTTAAGGGTTCTTGTAGCACCAAAAATGCTCCTCTTGTTGCAGGAAGCACACATTTAAAGCAAACACTCACGGTCTGAACTGATCCTTTGTTCTAAAACAGCTCCTTCATTTTTTCACCTCACTTTTCCTCTGAAGCTCTGAGAAAACTTTTTGCTATAAACTAAAATAAAGATGATTACTGACTGAAATATTTTCTCTGTTCAAGAATTAATGACACATGTGGGGTATAATCTGCTGTTCCCTCTTGGACTTTCTATGAAAATGACTGATAACCCATTTGTACTTTTCTTAATTGTCTCTAATTTGAGCTTGGAACCAGGCTCTAAGACTGACATTGGCTTGATTAATTGAAGGACACAGATCAGCAGAGATGGCCAGATGAAGCTCTCAGCTGCTGTGAGCCCCAGGACATGGCCTTGCTGCACATTGCACAGTTTGATGGGATCCAACCTGTACTGCATTCCTGCCCAATGCTCACTGCCCATTAATGACTTTATACAAAGCATTAACTTCTGTCTTAGCCCTGCTGGCATCATCACCCAGCYCTCACARCTTTCAGGTAAATRGTGCTGYCTCACAAAATCTGCAAATGCCTGARGAAGCAAGAGGGATTTTCTCCTCAGGGATTTTCTCCTGTGCTTATAATAACTGCAGCATTCTTGGCAGCTTGTGTTAAAGCCTCAAYCACCTGTGATGTGGTAGAATAGTGTTATCAACAGACACAATGTCAAAGACAAAGCTCATTTTCCCACTGTGAAAGCAGAATCTCTCATCTTGCCCAAGTTTCTGTGTGTGTTTGTAGGTCTCCCTGGTGTGGTGCATTTTAAGGSCGCTTATCTACAATTTTGTTGTTGYAGTTCACTTSTTTGRAATTTTCCACTCAGAAATTAGAWGAAATTAGGCYYCTYCAGCTGTGGATGTGTCATRKCTCRTGGGCATTTAAAACTGMACAGGCTGTCCTTTCAATCTGACAACCCCAGGTGGCTTTTATGGGAAGCAAATGGCTGAGAGCAACTTGACAGTGTGAGGTGAGTCAGCACACCTTGTTCCACACAGGGACTGCACCATTCCAATGCAAACAGCAGACCTGACCTTCCCTTCCATGAGACTTTTACCTATGCAAAAAAGAGACTCAGATTTTGCTTGGCTATTTCTAGACTTTGTGTTGCTTGATGAGCATCTTGAACACTCTCTGGCACTTTCTATCAGAGGATGGCAGAGCACCCTGCTTACCCTTCTCTTCCAAAYTGAAAGTTCAAGACAAGAACTGAAAGACAAGACCTGATTTAACACTGAAGTCAGTTGTGCTGAGTGTGATGTTGCACCAGGCAGTCTCCAGAGGTATTTCCCAGCCTGAACTAATCCATGGTTCTATGATTCTAACCCTTTGGGAAGGACAGGAGTAACAGTGCCTTACATAGATGGAAAACAAGCAYGGGGATAGATGAAATGCCTTTTGCCACAGCTCAGGCTGGATCAAAGGCAGCCTARCCTCTTCCAATTCTAAACACACCTTCCCTCTAAATGCAGCAGTTACCTTTACAAAGGTGAAGTTTACAAATCCTCCACTAAAAGTTAAGTTCAGCTCAGACTGCACCGTGCCACAGCTTCCAGATATCTGTGTCCCATTGGGGTTGACAGTCACAAACTCCACCTGCTCCTGTAGAGAGAAGAGACATTGTAGGGCTGCTGCTGAAGAGAATGAACTGAGTAACAAAGGTTTACAGCAGCCTCCCCCAGACAGGCTCTGTGTGGCTGAATGAACAGGCCATGGGTGGTGGCAGCCAAACTGCTGCCTGCCAGGGTCATTCTCCACTKGTAAACCAGCACTGGTGGCTGTCTGACACATCACTGAGCTGTTCCAGTGCATTAAGCTGGCAGAAAATATTTGGTTTCTATTCATTCAGAGGGAGGGCCTTATGCTATTACAAACATCTCACTATGGTCTGGTAAGGCTGGGAATCCTGCTCCCTGCCTGGCTTCTGCCAGGACAAGGGATGAAAATTAYCAACATTAGAGACTCATCCCATGTTAGAAATACCCAGACATCAAATATGAATATTGGTATTTGTAACAGGGATGGCTCGAGCATGAGAACTCCAGAGCCTGAGGATGTAGGTCAATGTGCTGTATTCATGGAGGTTACAAAACCTTAAGCCTGAGGGACACAATTGCCATTTCAGGGTGTAWGACATCTTTTGCTCAATCATTCTCAACAGATCACTTCTAGGAGAGGGGAGCAGCTCTTCAAGATCTGGCAGTTCCTGTGATCCTAAAATCCCCATACATCAGCACGAGGACAACTCACCTCTGAATCCAAGTCTGTGAACTGACAATTTCTTGCTTTTGTTGCAACCCACAGTGTCAAGCTCTTCGTTGAAGTCAGTTCAGATTTTWACTAACCTCCCATTCTAGGAAGCACAAATAACCCTGCAGGCTGATCTCCTGCCCCACTATTGCTCCCACACAACTATCACTGGAATAAGAAAGGACCTTGTATGTCCCCTGGCATCATCTTCAAACAGACCAAAGCACAGCAGCTGAGACACTGTGGCATATGAGGGCCTTAGACTGGCAGCAAACCACTTATTTTTATCATAGAAGCTAATTCTGAAAATGGCTTGGAAAGAAGAAGAACAAACTCCACCTAATGAAGGAAGTCACTACAAAGCTGAGCTCCCACCTCACCTGTTGWGTATCCTGAGCCATCAGCTGCAGACCCATGACAGCTTTGATGCAGGTYGTGTTCCCATCAGAAACGGTGTAGGTGCCAGTGGGGATGGCAGAGGGCTGTGGGACAGGAGAGGGGCTCACTGTCCTGGCAGAGGATGTGGGGGCTGTTTGTGTCCCTGCMTGGGTGGTTGTGGTGCTGCTCACTGCTGTGGCTGTTGGAGCCTCAGTGGCTGTCGTTTGTCTCCGTGACCGCGTGCTGCGCCCGGCTCTCTGCGAGGTGGTGGCTGCAGAGGTGTTGGTGGCAGCTGTCACCTGGGTACTCACTGTCTCATGTTTCAGGGAGGTGTTGGTGGCTGCTGCTGTCGTTTCTGTGGTCTCACGTGTTCTCCTCCCACGCCTGGTGGAGGAGACAGAGGGGGTGGTTTTGTTCTCCACTGCATCAGTAACGGAGAGCATTGTCTGGGTGGTGGCCTGGCTGTCTGTGCCGGTGGTGTCTGCGGCTGTTGTGGACACGGTGCCTGCTCCTGCCTGCTCTGCCCCGTGCTGGCCTGGAGCTGCTGTTGCCTGGTGCTGCTCTGATGTTCTGTGGCTCATGGGCATTGTTTGAAGAGACCCTGTGCTGTTAAAATGAACGGTGGCACTTTGATGGGGTGAGGAATAATAAAGGGAAGGCGGCTGAGCAGAAGTAGCCATTTGGTGGAAGGATGTGGTTTCTGGATACAGTTTGACCCCCAGGGCCACCTCAGCAAAGCAGGAGGAAAATGCTGCAAAGAAACTAAAGTCAGTAGTCTAGAAACCTTTACATTTCACTTTTATGGTGATAACCACAACATAACTGCACTGATTTTGTTATCAAATGGGTGACATTTTTTTATTCTTCGTTTGGCTCCAGTCATGATAGGAGAGTGAAAGCAGACACCCCGCAGGACAAACCACAGTTTGGCACCACTCCCTCCGATTTATCACCTCTGACATTTCCCATTCCAGTGGGAGMACATTGGCTCCCAGCTCTCCACGCACTGAGGAACCAGACCTTGCACAACCCCCAGGCAGCACAAGAATTCCCTGCAGGCAGTAGTACAGCAGGAATTGCTGGAAGCACATTGTCRAGGTGTAAGGAAGATGAAGTGGGTGTAACAGCCAAAGGGGCTGTTGGTTACTCACCATCCATGTGTAGAGAAAGGGGATGTTTCTGTGTGTGTGAGGAAGTGAGGCAGTAAAATGGTTTACAATGGATTCACAATAATCTGGGAAACCAGTTTGGGAGACAGGGAAATTCCTGATATTTACTCGTGGTTTTATGGTAGTCACATCAGCTTAAACCCTRAAGTTCTTCCTGGAAGAACCCAAAGAAAGACCATCTCTCTTAGTGATGAACTCTCAGAAATGGGAACTAAAAAATATCAGGAGGCAGCATTCAGTGGCCACACGAGAAAATACAGCACCAAAATTTTGGACCACATCAGAAAATAGTCACAGCACCAAATTTATTCTTCTGCCTACTAACATTTCCAGAAACACGTCCCTTGCAGAAGTGAAAAGAAAATATCTGGCTCCTAAATGTAAATAAAGAAGTGAACAAAAAGTAGGAAAGTACACTGTACAATAGGTGAATCCCAACACTTCTGCTTTGGTGACAAGTTTCGGTCCTAAGGGATGTCACTGCTCTGCTCCCAGGCGCTGTGGTGAGAAGCTGAGTGCCCAGTGCCATGGCCTGGCCTGTACCAGGGTATGTGACAGAAACTCTTACTGAGGATTTTTTCCCTTTTTCATCTAACCACACTCATCTGTTCAGTTGCCCAGCAGGTTTGTTCTGCTTTTTGCTGCCAGMAGAAATGCTCGTGTTTAGCTGATTCTGAGGGGACACAAAACCTCACCGAGCTCCTGTAATCACTGAAAATGCTCTCACCAGCCCTGGCTGCTTTGGTTTTTTCAAGGAATTGGAAAAGCACTGAGATTTTCTGAGAGGTTTCAGTACTATTAWAGCTTCTCTCCAACCCATTTGACCTTTATCCCTTAAGCACTAATTATGTTTAATTCCCTGTCTGCATACAAAGACTTTACTTCATCATTAGACTGTGATATTAATAGAACATCAAAAAACAAATTATTAAAGAAAAGATCAAAACCGGGTAAGGAGCAGAGGAAACAAGTTTTCTCTTGTCAAAAGTGACTGCTGACCACTGAATTATTAGTGTTGCTTCACAGGCTGATCTTGCTCTCTTTTCATTTATGTATTTTAGGGGTACTTCAGCAGATTCTGGCTGTGAAGCAGACGTGGGAAAGCAAAGGATCGAGTAGGAGCTGCTCGTGATTGAGTCCCTGGGCACTTTCCCTGCTCAGGGACTGGGAGGGGAATGGGGGCTGTTCCTTGTGTGATCCCTGCGTGCCCATGGCAAAACACACCACAGTGTCCCGACACGAGCTCAAACCCTTGGCCATACCACAGATTAAATCACACCCAGTCCTTCAGCAGGTAAATTTGGAGCTGCTGCAGGTGTTGAGCAGTGACTTAAAGCACAGGGAGAGGTCCTTGATCTGTGTGGCTCCCCAGATTTTCACAGAGCAGCACTAAAGATCAAATGGTGACTCTGATGGGGTTCACCATTGAAAGAACCCTGTCTTCTCCAAGCGCCTTGCCTCACTCCTGCTTTCCTGACCCTGCTCTGCATCTTCCATCGCAGACAAATTAATGACTCGAGCAACGCTTCTTTAGTTTATTTTCTTGCTTGTCTCACTTAGGATTTTCAGTTAGTTCTGCAGGTCTGGCAATTATTTTTAATTAAGAAATGCAAAGTCAAAAAGTTTGCTTCTAACTTGACTGAACTGACTCGTTCAGAGTTAATGCCACCTGAGTGCAAGGGAAAATATAAAGGAAAACATCAAACTAAGTCTATACAAGCTGCAATTAACTGCAGATATGGTGATTTCTTAGCAGTGTGACTTTGCTGAAAGTACCCTTAGTGCTAGAACAAAACTGTTCAAAGTTTTCAGTCTCTTAGGCACTGTCCTGACTGCAAGGAATCAAAACTGGCATAATGTCCCATTTTTTAGGTAGAAATGATGCTGTTACTCACCACAGGCGAGGGTCAGCGAGATGAGCGGCCGTGTGCTCCTCCCCATGRCCAGCTCGGTGCGGCTGGAGATGCTGCTGGTCCCCGGGGAGCGGCTGAGAGGAAACCGAGATTGCCTGCGGACTGRAAAGTTTCACTTCATGCAGGGAGTGCTCAGTCACATGGCTGGGAAGGAGGTGGAGAGAGAGGGGCAGAGCGATGCTTCTCGTCTGTAAACTCACGCAGAAGGAARTAAGTGATGGTTAGGAAAGAAAGTGAAAAGAGAAATGACTGCTGGGCTGACTGAGAGGAGGACAAGCTCTCTCTGCACCTGAGACCTGGGCTCTGCCAGGCCAGGGAAAGCTTTGTGCATGTCCCTCCTGCCCGATAACCTGGTGCAAAGTGCCCCAGCAGAGGGTACAGCCCCAAATCAGTGCTTCCCCTGTGTTCTTTAGAAACTTCCCTTAAGGCCAAACTCCTTTTATGTTAGGGCACAGAGGGGAGAGGTGTGGCCTCTGCACAGAGAGCTGCTGAAAGTGAGACAGGGCTGAGCAGAGCCCTGGACTGGCTCTTGTCCCGGTGGGGACCATTCTCTGCTCACTGCGGGAACATGGTGATGACACCAATGATTTGAAAAGTCAAGTGAAGTGAAGTTTGCCCCCAGAAATCTCCATGAAATCAATTCCAGTTTGCATTGTGTTTCTACATTCTCATTTTCATCTGCTTGCMTTTCCACATGATCCACAACTTGTATTTGGGTCAGTTAGCACTCCCTAATAAACACTGGTAGCCATAGGYATGCAGATATCTCAGGGTAACTATAATGAAGTGATCTACAGCTTCAYCTTAGCTGTCTGAACCTTTGCACTCTCCAAAAAGTCCTGGGGATTCAGAACATGACTAAGGGAGATGGGTAAAGTTTAAAAAAAAACTTACTGTGCCTTTTGTGACCCATGTATTGGACAGATGAAAATTGTGTTGGACAAATGTGAGGATTTTTTCAGCTCCGATGTGTCCTTTACTGATATTTATTTCAAACTGAAAAAAATCTCATTTTACTTGTTGCTTCATATAGAGACATCAGCCACAGGGTTTTGTACTAGTTATAATTTTTATAAATTTCAAACAAAGTGTGATTCTACACAGGTCAGAATGGCCTAATTACAGGAAGTTCATTTGCACACTTTTTTTCTTGTAATAAATTCATACATTCTGTCTTGACTGGAAAAAAGGACAGGTAATTCTGTTCTCTTTCCCTGTCTGATTATCTCTCATCAGTCACAATATACAAATACATCATTATCAACACCATGGAAATCATGTAAGAAAAACAAACTGTACCAATTCTCAGCTGGGGAGAGGAAATATTAGCAGCTGTTTCAGCTCCAGCTGCAAGAAGAAATACACATTTTGTATCTTTTTTTTCTTATTCTTACATATTTCTAATCATATATACTTGAAGTCTTTGAGTATTTTTGGAAAGTAAGCACATGGCCTTACTCATACCCAATCCTTTTTGAAATATCAAGACTCTAAGAACATCCTAGATAATAAAATGGCTTCTCATCACACACACGACCAGAATGTCAGACACACACACAGATCTTTGCTGTCGCTGGTGAGAAAAGCCAGAGCTCAGATGTGGTTTGGCTGCAGCTGTTTGTGTTCAGGACAACGACAATTGCTCTGATTCTCCCCTGGTGGGGTTCAGGTGAGAGGAGAGGATCAGGTCTGGTTCTATTTTAGCCTGGTTTACTAAAAGCAAGACTTGTGTGTCGTGCAAATGCCCGTCTCTGTTTGCCGTGGTGCCAGTGAGGAAGGAGCCTGCAGCCCACCCACACTGGGTGAGCACAGGGCAGATTTGAGGGTGTGAAATTGCTGATGTTTCACAGAAGAGCAGCAGAGCAGAGGGAGGAGAGCCCAGGCAAACACTCAGCCTGGAGCAGAGGTGTCACCAGCCCAGGCCCAGAGCACAGCAGGGGCTGCTGCAGCACGGATTCACCTGGGATCTGGTGTCTTCTACAGCCAAAACTTAGTCACAACCATTACTTTTAAATGGTCACTATATCATCTTCAAACAACACTGAAATGAAATCCTTATTTGAAAACTATGGGTTTTAGGTCCATCTACCTGAAAAGGATGGTGTCAAAGACCTACAGACAGAATAAGGATACCCTAACATATACACTAGTCCTGCTGGACATTACCAAATCATCTTCTAGACTGTACATGGAGAGTCATTCCCTTAATTATCACCTTGCTCAACAGAAATGCACTAATTAAAAGACTGTCCTGCATAATATTTAAAAAATCCAAAAAGTCATGGAACCCCATTTTGTCTCATCAGCAAAGCCAGAAGGTTGCTTCTTTTGGGAGCTGCTGTAGGATGTGTCAGCAGCCTGGTCTGTCACTGAACTCATCCTTTCCCAAAGCCAGCCCTGCAGTGGCCCTGCCTCGCTGCCTCTCGTGCCAAAGGGACCCTGCCAGGGCTGCCCTGTGCCCTGGTTTGGAGCATGGAGACAGAAACAGGCACCTGGCACTGCAGGGAGGTTACAGACACAGGTAATGGTGTGAGCTCCCTGCTCAGGCTCCGTGTGCCCAAAGACCAGAGTGCTGTGCCACTGCTGCACAGCCACAGCACAGAGGAACCTGCCATCCCCAGGACATTCATGGAGCAGCACAGACTCCAACTTTGGTCCAGCAGGAKAAAACATGAGATTTTCACTTTTCAAAACAGAAGTGGGGAGGAGAATGCAATAATGCAGGCCCTACCTTTGCAGTGGCCATGACAAGACAGTCTGGAGCTGGCAGAGGACACTTTTCCTCAGTAACCCCATGTCCTGCTCCAGCTCTAGACTGCTCCACAAGATGCCCTGTACCACTGGCACTCATGGAGGGCATGTGGGGTTGAATGCTTTGCTTTCCCCTGGAGGGTCCCCAGGGGGACAACTTTCACACACCTGGTACAATTCAGAATTCAATGGGTGGGAAATTCAATAGCTCCATTTTACAGGAAGGTGTTGAGGCACCAGGGCAAGTAGGACCAGCACAGTCTCACCCTGCTCATGCAGAGAGAGGAAATGGACTGGCAATGCCAGATTTCTCATCYTCAGTTCAGAGACCTCCCACTGCCATTTAACCATCAGAATGAGATTCCTCAAAATAAAACTCCAAAGTGCAGGTTTTCATCTTTCCATCCATCAGCAATGTCACAAATCTTCATTTTGGCAGTTTCATAAACCCAGGATAATCCTTCCCCATCTCTCTCTCCCACACATAAAAGCTTACTACACTTATTAATGTGCAATCAAAGCTCCCTAGCCCTTCCTTCTCCTATGCTTAGGGCAGGGGTAGACAGCAGCACTGTTACTGTGCAAAAATTACTGAAAGTAATAGAGAAACCAGAACAAACTCATGTTAGGGAGAGGATTAAGGAATTGCACTATAAGAAAATGTCACTGCATATTTCCTTAGGGGACTGAAAGGAATAAATTCTTCCTGCAAGATGCTGATAACCCCAGTAGACCAGGAGGATTCATGTTCCTGAGAGCCTACATATCATTTTTGAGGTAAAACACAAACAGGCAAGCTGCTACCTCTGTAGGACAAAAATAGCTTCCAGAAAGGTACAGAACTCTCAGGTCCTTTAGTCATGGACTAATGGAAAATGTCAAAAATCACAGAATTTAGATATGGGAGGTTTAGAAGARCCATGGGAATTAATCACCACAGTGCAACTCATAATCAAGCAATAAGTCTTCACAGGCAAAAAGATCTTACTAAGCCTTTACCTACTTCAAGGCTTTTTCTCAAACAGGACCATCTAACTCTTTCACAGCTATCCTGACTCACACACTAAGGTATTTGCACCGCCAGCCTCCACTGAGACACAAAGGAAAACATTCAAGTCCCTGCAAAGGTGACAGCAGAAATGATACAGAAACCTACTGCTTTGCTCAGAGGCTCAATTAGTAAAGAGTGGGTTGGTTTTGGTTTTKCTTCATTTCCATTTTTAGTGCTTTTAGTGCCCTTTGTTATTTACATAAAGCACCTCTAATCTGAGGGTTAAACAAAACATCTCAAAGAGTGAAAGCCACTCACTCACTCTTGAGCTTCTTCCAGGCTCGTCTTTACTACAGATCTTTGCCTGTTTGCAATCCTTAGTCAATATTTATCTTTACTAAARTACTAGCAGCTTTTGTGGGACCTAAGACCCAATTACCATCAAAATGCCTTCATGCCTTAACAGCGCTCTAAACGAGCTAATGGCTTGAATAGGAATAATAACATCTGTAATCACTTTATATTATACATTACATCCTTATGTGGCAGAGATTTGGTACAGTCCTTTCATCAAACATACCGGAAAGAAGTATTTCACAACAACACTTTATCCACTCATTGGAGCATCTAATGCCCACTGCCTATTTGCAATGCTTAAGTATATTCCAAATGGGGGGTGAAATGTATCTACTCATAGCCCAGCACACAAGGAAAGCATGCAGTCTACTCAAACATGGGACAGTAAATGGCATTCAATTGAATTCTCGGCACCAAATGTGAAGGGTTGTGATCCAGCAACCAGAGACGGTAGAGGGGGCAGAGGAATGACTTAGACTGTAAAAAGAGTTCAGAGTGTTCTTTGTCACAGCAGCTGTTACACGTCTGTACTTCCCTGCAAAGCCCAGCACCTCCCAGGCAGGAGCTGCAGCTGTGCCATTCCAAGGTGGGGAATGTTTTGAGCATTCCCTTCCCGTGCCAGCGCAGAGGATCGCGGCACGGCCGCACGGAGCCTCTCTGATGGTCCCGCTCAGAAGTTCCCTTTCCACAGTCACCCTCAGCTCAGGTGTTTTTGGTGTTGACCATAGCAAAAAGGGCACGTTTGTGATGATGTATCAGCTGGGATTAAGGAGGACAGGGAAGGCACAGCCAGTGGCAAGCAAATGGAAAAACCTCCAGGTGACCCCAGGGTGGAGCAAGGACTCGTAACCACCACGTGCCCCTCTGCAGTGATGTGGTGCTCAAGCAAAGTTGCCAAAAGGTGCGTGCATAGAAACTCTTCAGCTCTGCTGTCGACCTAATTTAGGCCACATCCTCTGAAACAGTTTGGTAATCAATGCAAGAAGCATTTTTCTCCTCTAATACTGAAGGTAGGTTTGATGTTTTCTGGATGTTTAATGCTCCTTTCAAGTTTGTTTTTCCCAGCTTGCCAGKTGGAGAGCACAGTTCTCATCTGTTCACTTTGATAAAATTTTAGTGAATTRTGAACCTCAGAGCTTGTGAGAAAGGCAACTTTGATCCAGTGTCCACCCAAGATAAAGCCAGGTGGACGGGGTCCTGAGGAAGGCTGGTCCTGCTGCTCAGCTGCCAGCCCTCTGTTCTGCTGGGAAGCTTTTGGCCACCTCACTTTCCTTCGTGTCTGACTCTACTGAGGCTGTGCTGCAGGAATCGTTGTACATGTCTGAAAAGGAGCACATGGGCATTGTCACTACAATATGGCTACAGGATTTTCCATCTACAGTCTTGAGGTTCTTTGTTAAAAGCCTGGAATAAAATAAAACATAAATAATCACAATTCTTTTGCTCTCCTAATTCCTTCACAAAAGGCAAGGGAGGCTCTTTTGGTGTGTAACTGTAATGTGTGTGTGGCTTTCTTTTACTTTTGAAGCACTGGACATGCCAGTGAAACAAGAGCCATAGTTGGGCTGGTGAGGARAGAACTGACCTGCTGTGGAGGTGAAGGAGCAGCAATTGCCAAATCCCTTTACACCACAGTAAAGAAACCTGAGGTTACAAAAGGATTTCCTCCTGACAAAAAAAAAAAAATTCAAAAGAGATCAGTAACTCAGAATAAAGTGCTGGTAGCTCTCCATTGCAGATCCCCAGGGAGTGGCTGTGCCACATTTTGCTTTCTTCTGCTACCAGAAGARAAGCAGGACACATTTTGGTAAATTATATTTAAGGGTGGACAGATATTAGTCTAAAATTGTAAACCGTTGATCTGCAGAGTTGCTCAGATTCAGCTTTTCCAGTGCAACCTGTTTGGGTGTTAGGTCAGAACCAAAGCTGAGAAAGGATGATTTTTAGTGCTGATTTGGCTGAAATCTTATGAGAGCAGCCCTTCCTCCAGCTTTTGAGCCAGCTGTGAAATATGATAAAGGCAGCAATGGTTCATGAAATTTTAATATATTCAAACCCAGGCCAGAACCACAGCCCTGATGCTGCTCTGAATCCAAACTCTATCCATGTCAGGATAGAGCTGACATGCTGTCCTGCAGGCACACCCTGTGTATGAGACACTCAGGTTAGCTGTGAAGCAGACAGCCTGAGTGCTGATAGCCATAGAATTTGGATGGCAGATCCAAGTTCTGCCCAGGAAGGGGWAAACAATTCAACCAGGCCAATGAAAGCTGCTGTGCCTGACTAGCTCTGAYACCCAGGCACCAAATTCCAGATTAGCTCAGCCTCATCAGCAGAGACTGCAGCACAGACATGGGCTCAGGTGAGTACTTTAATACAGAAAGTACTTTAATACTTTTGACCACATTTTTTACCATCACATCCCTTTTCAGTGGGGGGGAGGGGGGGGGGAACCAAACCAGTAACACATTTTTTCTATTACCTGCATTGCTGCTCTTAATCATGTTGTTACTGTCCCCCTCTGCTGGCTGCAATATACTGGAAGGAACCCAGTCGCTTTTCTCAGAGACCAGTTTCTTCACTAACCTGAAACTCAGAGAACAGTCAGTGAATTTTCCTACACTGCCTTTCCCTGGGTTATGTTTCCTAGAGATGTGTGTTTGGCTGTTATTTCCTAAACCAAGGAAGAAGGGAGAGGACCCCAGGCTAAAAGTGCTCGCAGTGGAAGGTGTGGGGATCTTATTGATGTATCCTACAGGAGGGTGCTGCCTTTGACAGATGTTCTTCTGGTTTCAAAAGGCCAAATATTCCCATCTGTTTCCTTTACACAAGCTTCTGTGTAAACCTCATGAACCCTTGTGTATTCATGCCTCCACTCCCTCTTTCATGTTGTGATCAATGGGGTGAGTGGATTTGGATTGATTTTGAAGAGACTTTGACATTATTCTGAATATATTTTCCATCTTTTCCAGGAGTTTACAGCTGTTGCACCTGTCCAGTTCTGTCTCTGTGCCATACTCACCACTGACCATTCTCTCCTTCCTGCACAAACTGCACTAAATCTCCATCCTCGAGAGTCAGAGAATCCGGGAAACAGCTGTCAAAACTGCCTTCTACCCGGAAGAGATTGCTCCCCTAAAATGAAGGAAACAGAAATACAGTCACTATGGATGAAAGAACACTGTGCAAGAGAGAGAGAATTTAGTTAAATACTGAATTAGGCATTTCAAGCTGGCAGAGATTTCTGCTGTACGCAGATATGTTTTATCATGCCCAGGTTAAATACTATGCAAAATTAGGATAGACCTGTGCTATACATTTATATTTCAASCTTAACCCACCAGCCATTATTCTGATACAAAAACTAGGTTTGTGACACCACGTGAAGTTATCTCGAAAAGTCTGAAATTACTTTTTTTAAGACTCAGAGTTTTCCCTCACTTTTGTAGCAGATAAAGTGACAGCTTACAAGTACAAATGACTTTTTATGATTCTCATTCTGATCAACAAAATAGCCTTGGAATAATCTCCCAATACCCCAGATAAAATTTCCATCTTCTGTATTCCCATGCATCCCTGAATTTGAGGCTGCTATGAACCCAAACTTTGCAGGTTACAGTGTGATCTTTAGAGAGGAGGAGGTTGTGCTGGGAAAGAGCAGTGGAATTTGAAAAAGCAATTACATTGTTAGGGTTGGTCTCTTCCTCCAAGTCAGAAGAGTTGGAGAGTTCATCCATGCTGGAAGGAATGGCTTCGAAATCTTCAAATGTGTCTAGAGAAGGCATTTGTCTGCTGGGCCAGCCTTTTCAAAAGAGAATAAACCAGAAAGAGTTAGCTATCAGTCATCAACCTTTCTCAGAATCAGTCTGTGTAAAACAAATGTCACAGGTTCACTTCCCACTATTCCATTTACTGAATTACTTGTACTTTTTTACAGCTTATTCCATGTTTTTGCCATAAAAAATGATGTCACAGCCATTATCCTGTCTCTAAAAACCGGTACCACTTGCTGTCACTTGTGTGAGAGCATCTGTGTGGCTGCAGTGCTCAGCATTGCTCAATCCCTTCAGCTCAGGAGGGACAGAAAACAAGGACCAGGAATATTCCTGCAGAGCAAATGATAATGGAATTTTGGTTGACTTCTTACCTCCATCTCTCCCCAAGGTGAGAAGACCACCTGAACAACTTACCYTGGAGCAGGCTGGAAGTGCAGGGAGGGACAAGGACAACCAGKGGTGTAAGGAGAGATCTCAGTCATGTTTGTGCTGTTTCCTGTCTTACTGCATGATTTTCACCCAGAACCACCCCAGCCCAGTGGAATGGACTCTGTGAGAGATTCCAGCCCAAGCTCAACAGTCTCTCCACCTACAAAGGCACATCCATAGGTTGTGTCCTGAGGGAAACTGAGGCTGAGCCTYGTAAGACCTGTCTGCCTGAGGCTCCTGTGGTGCAAAAGGAGATCTTGTGTGCAGATGGCAATCATCAGTTGCACTTGATGCCTGTCCTTTTTCAGGCAGCGATGGGGATGACTAAAGTCCAGCTCAGAAGAAACAGAGCTTGCATTTACCAAATGACTCTGCAGCCCTGACAAGCACAAGCTGAATGGAGTCAGTCAATTTACTGTGTGCCTTACTAATTAATGTACCTGCATTAGCTAATTCACAGCTGAGCAGATGCTGAATGAACCAAGTTCTCCACATCCTGTGGGATRTTGCCCTGGACAAGGCAAAACTGTGCTCTGACCACAGGGCATGGAGACAGATGCTCACACAGTGGGATTATAAACATCCCAACATTCTCAATCCACACCRAAACCTTTTCTAAAACAATACAAAACCCAAGCCAGGCAGTTCAGGCAGTAAACAGAAAAGCTGATCTGAGAGAAACAGATTTTTTCATTGGTTTATTTAATCCCCCCCCATGCACATCCTCCCTGCTGCAGGCACTGGTTGGTGAAATACATTATCCTGGCAGCTCTGCAGCTCCTTCTCCCTCCTGCTACCCAGGGACTGTGTCTGCTCCAACCACTGCAACGCAGTCACAAGGGACACAGGGACCTTCTTCCATCCCCAGCTATCACCCCACAGGTGTGGTTTGGTCATCTGTACTTTTAASGGTGCAAAGCTATCCTGTACCAGTTCATTCACACCAGCAATACCAGCAAAGACCCAAGCATACAAGAARAGGTTGATTCTAATTAACTTCAAACTGCTACTGAAGTTTTAGTTCAAATTCACAGGTTGGGCTGCAAACACCAAGAGAAAAATATATTCCTCTACCCCATTAGACAAAGCTTCCATAGTCTTTTGCCATTGTCATTTGTGAAAGCAACCAAGGCAGAAACCTCACCAGCAAGAWTTCCTTACAAATACATGCATCAGCCTCCCTCTTCCATACAAATTGCTATTCTAATTTCAGACAATAAGAAATAGCTTGTGTTCAATTAAGCTTCACATGCTTAATTGAAGCTWAAAAACAAGACACATCAAATTCTGAGCTCTCTGGTATCAATTAAAAGAATTATTTTCAGCCTGACGTCAGAAAACCAGAATCTGGGGCATTGTTTCTGTAATCCAAGCTTGTTCTTTCATTGTTTTGATGAGAAATAATATTCACCAAAAGAGAAAAATGTCTTTATAATAAAGAGAGTAAATATTACCATAAATTKAGTTTGCACTCTCAAATTGAGATTACAAGTGCTTTAGTTTTGTTTACCTGTCTGTGAAGCAGATCTAGGTACGGATCTCGTGGTGGAACCGGCATTACATTTACTCTGGGCCAATATGGTGTTCTCAAAAGCATCTGTGACAGGAAGTACAATTTGTGTCTTCAAGGTGAAACAGTGACCAGACAACCAGTACAAAGTGAAYTCCTGCATCACCTCTGCAACTGACAGTCTCTTTAACAAACAGGTGGACTGGGGTCCAACAGTTACAAAAGAGGAGACACATGACCAGCACAAATGAGTGAAAGGACAGCAGCATTCCACAGAAAAACTGTAAGTCTGAGAAGGACAGAGAACAGTGAAATGAATCAAAMTGAAGTATTGATGTTAATTAAGGAAAACAATTGCTGAGTGAACAGTGCAGTGTTCTATTTCATTACAGCTTCCTTACCCATTTTGAACATATTTTCTTGCAGATAAATCATTTTGTAGGTGATAATCTATGGTTTTGATCCCAATCCAGACAGCAGCAAAAGGGGACCAGGGAGGCCAAAAATTAATGATTTCACTCTTGATGAATGCAACACAATTTTGTGGGGGAATTCCTTGTGTTATTACCTCACACAGAACCCTGGCAATAGCAGCAATATCAGGATCTTAAAGTTAACTGTTTCCCACTTAAAGGGATTCAGTCTGGTGAGGGATGTTGTGCAGTAGAACTTGTTTTTAACCAGAGAGGAGCAAGTCAGTTCTATGCTGCAGATGGTTTTTTTTTTTTTCTGCACCTTGAAACCCCCCAGCCTCTGCAGCCCCATGGGAGGCTGAGATCAGGGCATCTGTCAGTGAGGAAAGTGAGGCATAAACCTCACACTTTGGGAAACTCTGCTGGGTGCCAGGATGATTCTAAACATAGTGCCAGGTGTCACTGGCAGAAGGAAATATTCTGAAAACAGGAAAACTACTTCTGCTCTGTCTGATTTGTTTCTTCCAACCTCTCTGTTCCAGTCTCTTCACTGACCTGTTCAGTTGCTCTTTCTACCGAGTTTTCGTGCAGAAGAACACAATGCTATGAAAGGATTCCTCAGCCTACATCTCTCTCCYGCCTGTCCTGCAGCAGAAGTAGTTCTGGCCCCTTGTGCCCCCCTAAGGCAAACGATCAGGTAAAGGGGAAAGCTGACAATGGAAGCTGCTGATTTTCAATGGCTGAGGAACAGCATCCCAATTTACCTCTTTGGTCTTATTTATTAAACGGTAATTGATGAATCCGCTGCAACAAACTGATGGAAATTCTGCWTGTCTGAAATGAAACACTGCACCTCAAATGGCTTTTAATGCACAGTTTAGCATCCCCTGTATTCCTCATGCATATGGCTCCTGCTTTTCTCACTGGGAATAGACAGTAACAAGTGAAGAGGGATGCCAGTGGCCAGACTGCAGGTGAAGGTGAAAAGTACCCCTTGGCTCCCTGTGCTGCACTCCATGGAGGGAGGCAGAAAATCCAGATCCAGGTGACAGTCCAGAGCTTCACCTCCCAAAACAGGCAGAGAATTGGGGGGTTAATTTAGGCCCAACCCTAAGTGAATATGAGTGCAGGGGRCAGACAAGGGAGTAACTGTCTTTATCCCAGTTATACAGATAAACTGACCCCAACCCCTAATGGACTCCAGTGTCATCCACCAGTTGTGATGAGATGTGAATTCAGTGAATATCAAATGAGGTTTTCATGCAGGATGGAAATTCTCCTACCTTCAAACCCAAGGGGAGTTGGGTCACTCTTTATTTCATGTCTCTTGACTTTAACTGCAGGAACAAGGGGACCTGTGTGAAGTTTACAGAGTCACAAAGCTGTAAATATTGTCAGAGGAGAAACTTGCTTTCCTATCACCTGAAAAATACTACCTAAAACTTTTAATTTCACCCAGAAAGAATGACCAACCCCTAGGTTCTAGATGGTGAAGATACACACTTCTGTGAAGTGGACAGGAAACAAACCCCTTCTGGCAAAAGACATTGAGACATCAYAACTAAACCATCTGCTTCCCTTCAGGTCTCACAGATTTCCCTCTCAMTCCTGCCCAGGAGGTGGCACCAAGGCAGCCAGACCCGTAGTGCCAACTTTCACCAAGGCTGGCAGGGCAGAGAACACAAAGACAACCCTTGTGACCCACAGAAGGAGGGACACCTGCCACAGGTGCATGTACAGCACCTCTCCTGTGTCCTGATTCCACATGTGGAGGGAGCTGAACTGTGAGCAGTGAGGATCAACCACAGCAGCAGCTGCAGCCTCAAGAGTGATGCTCCCAACACCCTGGCTAGAGCTGCATCCGGGCTGAGACAAAACTCAGGCTTCAGTYCTTTGGTCATGTGAAATATTTTCATAAGCACATGCTGTAAATAAATCACTTAATTGAAAAGCACGGATTCTGTTTTCTAGCTTTGAAAATCATTGCAAAAGTAGCTTTCTCAGTAKCCCAAGAGATTGCCAGCAGTCTTTTGGCAGACAGGATTCTAGGAYAGGACTTTTTGATCTGAAACTGTAACAAAGTTTGACTTTCATTGCAACTCACACACRCTCTCTTTGATAAACCACACTAAAGAACAATCCTTGATTGCCCATTTCCTATTTTAATATGTGCTTCATTCTGTTACCCAGCTTTGAAAAAAAATATTCGGAAATAACTCTGTCTTCCTATAATTTAGCAGCTGATCATCTATTTCTGAGCTGTTGCTGAGGGCAAAAAGCTGTGAGAACCTCTCCTCCATGTGTGATGTTCTAGTGCTGTGGTCTAAAGGAGCTGTCAAAGAAACGTTTGTAGGTAATGGGACTGTCACGTCCTTGCTGTGCCCATCAAACCCCACCATGCCCTCATTCCCTGACAGCCTCACTGCAGCCAAAGGTGGGGTTCGTGTTCTTCACAGCTGGTGAGAAGGCAACAGATACTGAGCAACTTTCCTCCTGACAAGTATAGAGCAAAGATTTGTATAGAAATCAATTCTGCCATTTTTCCTTCTATTTCAGCTTGTGAATTGCCCTGAAAATCTTAACCTTGCAAATCAGTTCCTCCACTTCATTCCAAGAACTGCCAAAAGGCAGTATATTCACAATTCCATGTAAGACCATATATTCTGTTGTCAGAATTATCCCTGACATGTAGGCAAATGTGCCCACAATGCTACTGATTTCCAACACAACTTGCTGAAATGCATGGGTTGCTTTCAAATTTAAATCTAGGCACTAATTCAGGAACTTATGTCTTGTGAAAGTGCCTTTTCTACAACTAAATGAAGTTCAGAAATGAAACTTTCRTAAGTTCCACACAAAGTGCATGGAGTTCAGTGCATTTAGCACCCAGATGCCTTCCAGACACAAAAATTTCCTGCAAACATAGTTCCTAGTCATAACAGCAATATTGCTAAATATGATTAAAACTTGCATCTATTACTCCTCTATTTTTGGCTTGATTTCAGGCTTTCTTGATACCTGGTATCTGCCATGCAAGGAGGAGATTCTCTCCTTGAAAGCAAAAATCCTAAAGAGCTTTAAGGAAACAGAGAAATAATTCCAATTGAATATCAATTAATCCAAACCAGGGAGAGGTTGGAAACCCCACATCATCTGAAAATTATTCCAGTTTCCATGGAAACCAGCAACACTTTTTGAAGCTTATTAAGGAGAATCTGGGAAGAGTCACTCAGTGTGCTGGCAGCACACCTTGATACACATCAAAATGTCCTGTCCTGCCTCCCTGCAGGTGTTACACTGGCATTGACTCTTCTTCTACCAGAACCTCCTGCATTTGTGAAAATTGAGCCTGAGGGAGTCGCTCTGTGAGCAGCATTTGGCAGTGAATGTGTCAGCCAGCAGGAAGGGACAGGGGGAGCTCAGCAAGCAGCATGACAGTACCTTTGGTCACAGCAGAAGCATTAACTGTGGTGCTGATGGAGGAGGCTAAGGAAAAGCGACGGGTAACTTCTCTGTCCTTAGACTCTGGATCTGGGAGAACAGACAGATGCAAGGCAGGCCAGGGTTAGAGGTTAATAAGCACTAAGGGTAAAAGATGCTCAAAGCAAAGCAGCAGCTGGAAAAGGGTAAAGAAAAGAAAGGTAGCTCCTCTAAAACAAACAGGAAAAATACCCTCAACAAAGTGAAAAGCACAGAAAGTGTTATTATGAACATACTTTCAAAGCAACTCCAATTGCACCAATTTTCATACTTCAGAAAAGAGACTTATGCCAATTATCATTTTAGCAACCAACCAGTGTCCAAGTACAGCTACAAAACACAGAGAAATGAGCAAGATGGCTGGAATGGGGTGTGTGTCTACRGATGAGGTTTGGATCACTTGAGACACTGAACTGCTTGTTCTGTGATGACAGATCTGAAATACACTGAAAAACAAGCATGAATGGTTTGGAGTTCACATTYGTCATTTCTAAAATTTAACTGTGTGAATGCCTAAAAACACTCTCTGAACCTCCATCCTCACCAGTGCAAACCAGCTTGGAGAAAATAAAGGCCACATAGTGGGGCTTTTTGCTTATTTAAGATCCCACCTTTTCTGTAAGCCTGCTCAGGAATGGACACATCTTCCCCACATCTGTTGAAGTTGTGCCAACCCCAAGAAATCTGAACTTGGCTCTGCAAACCAGGATGGCTGATGCTGACCCAAGGGTGGCACTTTGGTGCCAGCCCTGGGATGGCTGCCCCAGGGATCTCTGCACTGATGGAGTTCAGGATGGTAAAAGTTCCTTCTGCAGACATCAGCATCTCTTTGGCTAAAATGCCAAAGTGATCATATACAACATTTTCCAYCCCATCATATCCAGCCTAGGCAGACAGTTCAGCATTTCTCTGAGCATCCATGCWCCACTGYCAGTTGATATCCATYRATTTKGTTCTCACCCTAGTTAGTCTGGGTRTTTWATYRTTTAGACCTTCCCTTTCATGTGTTCTGGACAGGAACAGACACAGCAGGTCTGAACCAAAGCACACTCAGACCAACACACCATCCTTTGTCAGGGCCAGCAACAAAAACCTTTAGACAAAGTGTTCAGGGGCAGGAGAAGCTGATTGCAGACACATCCCTATTCCCTTCTCCAGCTTCCATCCTGCCTCAGCAGCCAGCCYGTGGGTGCTGATGGGCTTTGCCTGSAGGAATCACCAYGCTCTGCCAGYCACCCAGACTGTCTGCCAGTGCTTCCCTCCAGSCCAGGAGGGGGTCAGCACCACAAAGTGAAACGGGACATTGTGGAAAAGGATTCCACAGGAATCTCAAGTAACCAGACCCAGCAAGGCTTTGAACTCAGACCACCTAGACCTTAGTGGGTACAAAYACTTCAGAGGAGTGCTTCACTGCCTGGAACACTGAACACAARGCAAGACATTTCATATGACGAGAGAAACTCATCAAAAAACAACAGCAGCCCAAAACTGYGGATCCAAACTTGCAAAGATTACAGCATTATTTCTGAAATCTGTTTCATCATTGATTTCCCCAAGTCAGAAAATCTAAAAAACTACTGATTTTTATAATCAGACATTGAACTGGTTTGTCCATCTTGGATCTATCAATGCAGCCTTAACTTTGCAGCCAGAATCTTATGGCAGTGCTGGCTCTTGGTGCGTTCCTATCTACTTTATCACATTACAATTTAATGCTTCTGTATGTCTGCTTTCATTTTTTCACCTTGGCCCTTTCTCATTGATCCTCACCCTCTCCATCATCGCACACTAACCCTTTGCCTCACAGAGGAAATGTCATTTATCAAAACAGAAGAAAAGTCATACACAAGAAAAAATAAAAGGAGTAATTACAGTATCTTTTCTGAAAGTGRTTAGAAGTAGTCATTCAATTTAATTTCCATTCACATTTTTTCTTTCCTCTAAAGTCTCTTCATTGGACAGCCAACACCCCAACTTGCAAAGCTCTCTGTTCATGGATATCTACTAAACATTTATGCACAAGTACTCAAAACACAACATTTTACCATGCCATATGACTTAAGTAGAAATAAACCCCAGATTTCCTGAATYCTGGTTCCCCAATGTAACCACTGGGCCACAGGTGAGCAATATTTGAAAAAACAAGRAGTCCAACCACTGAATTATTTCACACACTAAAATCTCATGTGGCAGAACAGAGATGATGCTATCTTCAAGCCTGTAAGTTGCTGCAAGAAGTTCGGTTGAACATTTAAAACAAATTCACACTTTGACCCTTGAAAGAAATGAAACAAATGTTATTTGCACTGTGCACCAGTAAAAGACAGAACAGCCACCCCAGAGGTTGCCTTGCCAACGCTGCTGTGGGAGCAATTTTTGGTGACGGCATCTTTGAGCAGAGGAGCCMTTTGTGTGCACCAGAAAGGAGCGTTTGGGTGAGATGTAGCAGCACTTTAGGAAACAGTGATGGATGGCTCTATGGGATGGAGAGAACACTGTGGGGGTGCAGGACACAGATGGCCTGAGACCAAATGCTGCATGGGTGATTTTACCTTTGGGTGGAGCTCTGCGGTTGGAAAGACCTTGCAATGTGAATCGCTTTCTAGCAAGCGCTGTGCGCTCAAGGTTAAGGCTGCTGGAAGCATCAACTAGGAGAGAGAGGGAGAGGGAAGAGAAATAAGGAAGGAAGGGTCAGCTGTTCAGCTTATGGGAAAGGAAAGGTTAGCACTGGATGACAACTAAAAAGAAATAAATAAATTTTGATTCAGTTCCAGCCTGAGCAAGAGCTAATCAATCAGAAAGGTGATGTGAGGTCAGGGTGAGKAAAGCAGCTGAACCAAACAGAACCCCTGGGTTGAGTTTGGCTCACTRAGTTTTAATGGRGAACAACAACAAARCAAAACCAAAGAACAATAGGTGAAGGGATGCAGCTCTCATCAAAGGAAAATACAACTTAGCAGCAAGTTAGTGCCTTCCACTACGGAAACACATCATTGGTTGGAACAGCAAGTTGTAGGGAGAAATAAGAGAAGCAGCCTTGCAGKGCAGGACATGCAAGTGTTGTGAGCAGTCCCAATTCTGCTACCCAGCACTGGCACTGAACAGCCTGCCCTCACCAGCCCGGTTCAGCCTTACCTGCTGCAGCCTTTCTAAAGCCTCTGAAGCTGGCACACAGCCATGCAAGTGACCTCATGGTTTGCTGGCAGGTAAGGATGCCATGCCAGCAGAGCTCACAGCCAGGCTGKGCAGGAATAATCAGCCATGCTGTCTGACAGCCGCCTCTGCACACATCAGTCACAGATGGAGAGAGGTCCTGAGGCTCTGGGCTTCAAAGATAYTCAGTTACTCACATTGCAGGAAACAGGTGGACCTAGATCAAACCCCCAGATCCAGGCATTCCTGCCAAATCCTCCATCTGCTCCTTTCTTGGTGTGGGCAGATAACGCACAGAAGGTTTATGGCAAAGGAGCAGGAGAAAAACCATGTGTTGGGTACCTGGTTCTGAGCCTTAGGGTTTAACCAACAGACTTTCCTCCTCTTTATTTCATACACTGTCACAGGAAAATCTTTAGAGCCAAATCAAGACCAAAGGTACAAAGGGAACACGAGGAGACAGTGGATCCACACTGACAGACAAGCAACAGACAGACAAGCTGTGCTTCCAAAGGAAAGCGCATCCCATCACTTCCTGATTTGCAGCCAAGATAATCCAGGATCCRAGGTGCCTGCATGCTTAGGTGGGTGTGAGATGAGCAGATTTTAACAACACAGAAGAATTGTGYCACTGTGGCTCAGCTCCTGCTACCCAGTGCCAGCTCTGGGCCAGGAAGGTGCATCTGCTGAGGAGCTGTGGCTTCTGCTGTGGGGCCACCTTTGGCTTTCAGACTGTGCTGGGCCATTCCCTGCCACTGCCAGCCAATCTTTGTGAGCATACTATAGATTATACAGAAGCCACAAACTGTTATATAAAATACATTTACTTGCTGTTTTCTTAGGGCAAGAAAATCCAAAGCATTTCATTATCAGAGTCCCTCAGGGAGCAGAACAGTGCAGAGGGATGGGCTCCTGTGTTAGTTCTCAGCTCTGCAATTGCGTCTCCTCCCTGAGGGACCCCTTACCATTTCACAGCCCCCACAGCCTCTTGGCACCAGCAAAGCATTAGACACTGGTCTCTAAAGTCATATTGTCTCCACCTGAGTTATTTCAAACCTTGTCCTTCATTCTGCAGGTATACCAAATAATCCTGGAAACAATTTCCAAACGTAGTAAGAACCAAGAACTGACAGGTTGAACAAGAGCCTGCATTGTGTAGTTGTGGCAGAGAAAGCCAACAGCATCCTGGGCTGCATTAGGCAGAGCTGTGCCAGCAGGTCCAGGGAGGTGATGTTTCCTCTCTTTTCAGCACAAGAGAGAYGCTCCTGCAGTGCTGTCCTGTCCTGGGCTCCCCAGGACAAGAGAGATGTGGGGATTCCTGAGTAAATCCAGTGAAAGGCCGTGAAGATGGTTAAGGGGTTGCTGTAGCTGCCATGAGGAGRGAGTGAAAGAGCTGTGATTGCACAGCCTGGAGAAGAAAAGGCTCAGGGAGATTTTATAAAATAAAATGGAACCAGATGCTTCTCAGTGGAGCCCAGGATAAGAGAGGCAACAAGCACAAACGGAAATATGGGAAATTCAATCAAAAAATGCAAAAACCTTTTTTACTGTGAAAGGGGTTAAACCTGGGACAGCATCCCCACAGCAAGTTGTAGAGTCACCATCCTTGGGGCTTTTCAGAGCCCAGCTGGACATGGCTGTGAGCAGTTTGCTCCAGGTGACCCTGCTTTGAGCAGGGCAGGCTGACAAGGGGGACCCCACAGGTTCCTGCAGGACTTGCTCCCATTTAACYACAAGGCAGTGCACAACATCAGGTGCACACATGATTTATATGTGAAAAATTCTGCCACAGGCACCTATCCATAAAAATAATAAAACTGAAATAGCTTGTCACAGCACCCTCCTCTTCTGTACTGCAGAAAATCCCCATTTTAAAACAATCCGCGTTCACATTGACTACACCGATGTTGGGAGYATTTTACAGGCAGTAGGTGGCACAAAAGAGACAGTTTTAACAGAGCCCCRGGCTCCGTGCTGGGTGTTGGGACATTTTTGAGTTCAGTCCCTGCAGAGCCCCACCAGGTGCGTCACAGGGACACAAACCCGAGGTTTGGTGGGACATCTTGAGCTGGAGAGCATTTAACTGGTTCTGCACAGTGTGGTTTGCAGCCCAGGATGCTCAGGGCACCCGAATCCCAAACAGGAATGGATTCACTGCCCAGCCCTGCAGGAGCAGCCCCCAGCAGGGGATGAGCAGTGGGCTCCCAGCCAGAGCCTGAGGAGCTGCTCATGGGAAAGCAGAAAACAGAAGAATGACAATCGGCACAGAGTGTGATCCCAGTTCCCACACTCCCGAGGAAGCTGGACAGTTAGAAAACATCAAGAATTTTCCTGGGATTTTTTTTGAAAGCRGTTTATGAATTTCAAAGGAAAAGCTGCTTTTCCACTTTTTAATTTTAAAAAAGGAAGTTAAATTTTTTGAAAATAAAATTTTACTTAAGCAAATTTTTAAGAAATTTACAAAGAATCTGTAACTTTTTTCCCAGTCTGAAAGCTTATTGGAATAAAAAAAATCTTTTGGTGAATAGCCTATTTTTCAAAGAAAAGACATTCCACTTTCTTTTTACTGCCTCTACTTACAAAGAGGCTGTTACTTTAGGCCTTATTTGGGCATTCATTTCTTAAGACCTCACAATTTTCTTTTTTATATTACTAGAATATTCTTTGTTCAGCATTAAGAAACACTGCACGAAAGAGAAACTGCTGTCAAAAGATTTTCTGTTCCTGCTACTGTCAGATGAGATTCCACTTCTTTTTAGAGTTTATTTTAACCTCTGTTGTATAGAACATCKACTGTATTTATGGCCTTGAATAATGGAGGGACTTTCTGTGGCTGCAGGTGGGTTTATTTACTGTACACCTGAGGGGAACTRTTACACACAGGGAAGGCAAAAAACTCTCCTTGACTTAAAACAAGGAAATCAGTTAGCAAAGTCCATAGAAAAAAACTAAATATGTCTAGAATTCGACTTCAACAGGATACAGAAGGTTAAAGCACACATATTCTTATCCCTAAGCTCTATTTTTGAAAAACACAAGTTGTATAAAGAGCACTKTAAAGCATCAAAACTCAGACTTAAAAATCCTAAACTGGTAATGCCCTTTGGTGATMACCAAGTTTCATGGTACAGTCACTCAGCTTTGCAGCACTGTTTATTTGATGTTGGGTTTAAACAGCATAAAGTAACATCATCAAACTCCAGAAATACGTGCAAATATAAAAAYATTACCCTTTGGAAGCAAAGGCTCTGCCAGAACTCCTACCTCTCTTTTGTCTGGCGCTGGGACTGGAATTCCTGTTTTTATTGTTAGATGCTTCCACATTTGATGTCTCAGATTTGTTTTCATATAGACTTGATGACTTCCTGCTATACCTTGGGACAAAAGAAACACAAAAATAGTAACATTTCTGGTTAACATCTAATGAAGCATTGAGCACTAGGTGTTCTTTTTTACCCTCAGACRTGGAGGAACAAAAGGCTGGTTTTAAAATGTGCTATAAAAGTTTGCATCTGTGTAGGCATGTATGGTGGAAAAAAGCCATCCTGTAAACCATAGCACACCACAGCACACTGTGAGGGATGTGCTCCGTCAGAGTTGAGARGGGAAAAATGCAGAATCAAGCTGGTTGTCTGCACAAACTTTTTTAAGTGCAACAGATTTGGGAATTGGAATGGGAGGCCAGGTATGAAAAGATAAGCTTGRTTTTCTGTCCTTTGCAGCTTAAATGCATTTGTCACCAGGAAAGAAAGGGATACTGAATGGTCATGTAGAGGTCACACCACGCACAGAGCAATGTGAGTTCTGTTGGTTTCCCCAATTTCTGTTTCTTCTGCTCTTTGGAAACACGAACCCCAGAGGGATATCCCTGTCTGCAACTGAATCACAAATGGGAGGATCCACCTTGACAGATCTGCCCTGGTACCAGCCTTGGATCTGGGATGGGAAGGGCACCCCAGCCCAGGTTTGTAGGATATTCAAGCTGCAAGGTTTTCTCGTGGTTCTTATCCTCACTGTTTTGCAAATGTCTGGTGGCTTAATTTGGGTGTTTGACTGTTATCTTTGGCAGATTGCTCCACACATTTTCACTGTATCTACACGTTTGAAATACTCTTTGCCAAAGTGCTTGTTATTGACACRTATCAGCAATTAAACTGCTGCTGACAATTAACACATGAACTGTGACATTTAACATTCACAGGGTTTGCTCTGCTGCAAGGGGAGCACCAAGGTATCATTAAAAACTTTAAAACATTTTAAATACCAGAGAACTGTAAATACCTTTTCTAAATATAAAGTAGTCCAGGACTCACTGTTTTGCATTTGAACTTCTGACCTGTTTCTGATGGAACCTTAGMAARGTCTCYGTTACCTCTTGTACTAAATCAAAAYGAGATTTTGCAGCCTAATGTCAGGTACAAAATGGGGCTCAAAATAAATATGGGAACAAATCCAAAGCACACTCACATTTCCTTATTCTTTTTCCTCTGTTCCTTCCCAGCTAGGCTGGGATAACTGTGAAACRTGCAGCTGACAGAGTTAAAGATTTACAGCTGTGACAAAGACAATGGAGATCTCCCATTCTGGTTGATTCTGCTAAAAAATTTTACAGTGATATCCCATGCCAACTTATATTAAACTTGCCCAGCCATTGGGTCATTACAAAAATTTGCTGACAGCTCCATTTAACRTCCTGGAAATATTCCAATATCTTTTGTCTAAATTTGAGCTAATCTTTGAAATGAATTCTGCATTGTGATTTTCGTTCTCTCTTGAGCAAAACCTTTAGCTGTATTTATGTATTTTTAAAGRATTTGAAGACCATTGAGTAAGTTCATACCAGAAAGCCAAACACAAACCCCTCAGAATTTATGGACTGCAAAAGCACAAAGGCAAGACAGAACATGGCCCTCATATGCCAAGGCAGCTGTAATTACCTGCTTGCATTGGAGGARTCCATTGGTGCATGATACACACTCTCAGTGATTCTTTGGTGCAGTTGACTTGCTTCTGTAAAAGAAAAAGTGAAAAGAAATTGCTCCAAATTCTGTGAGTTGCTCAAGGTGGGGGAGAGAAATAGGAGGGGAGAGATTTTGACTGCCACTGCAATCAAAATGGAATGCTTGCACTTGAAGAGAAAGGCATATTAAGAACTTAATGACACCTTTTAGCTCACCRAACAACCCTTCTACTCTTAATTTTTCACTGCAGAAGAGATTTCTTCCCACATTACCTTCTCTTTTCTCTGTACCTCTTCCTAGCTAACTGCATGATATGGATCTACAGAATGGACATCATGGCCTTTTTCCCAGAATACAAATTTTGTGGCTCACAGCTTTTCCTGGATTTAGCAACACATGTCCATCAGTCCTTTTGCATACTCAGCCACGTGCTAAAACATATGCCCATCTCTCTGCAGAATGCTTTTACTCAGCAAACTGGACTAACAGTAATCAGAAAATGTTATTCAAATGCCACTTGTTCATCTTTTTGCAGGGCTGCAAGGTAGCAACAGACTTTGTACTTTGTCCAGTAAATGCTGAGTGAAGAAAAATCATAAGAAAGTTGCTGACGGCCTGGATKTCAGGGCCAGGATAGTCAGACACTGAGAAGAAGGAAGCAATGGAAGAAGCTGCTTTCAGATCTGAGAGAGATCCCTGGGTTTTTTTGCTCTGAAAGAAGATGAACCTCCTATCARTGAAAGAGAAGTGACGATGGGACAGGGCAGCACTGAAAGATTAAACTTAATGTCCTTTGTTGGTCAGGAAGGAAATAGTTCCACTCCTGGGTTGGGCAACTGATTCACAGCTTTACACAAATCCCTTAAGCTGCATCAGTAATTCCTTTTCCTGCAAGAGACAACTGGGACATTTGGGATTGATGSACAAAGGTGTTACCCAAGCCTTGTTGGCATTCCCTGCTCACTGGGATATGACTGAGCTGTGTGTACACCGAGGTTTGGACACRAGTGACCAACGTGTTAAATTATTTATCACACACCTTTGGCCACCTTCTCTAACCCTAACCTGCCTCAGCCCCACGATGTCACACACAGCTACAGAAGGAAGGACACATTCCCAGATGCTCTGTGTGCCCTACCTCTGCATGCTTCCAGCTGTCCTGTCAGGACTTTGCGAATCTCGGAAATCCAGGTGTTTTTCAGCTCCACAGAAGATGCCTGAGAACAGAAGAGGAGAGTTAACAGTACAGCCAGTCACTGGGCTGCCCTGACCTACACTGCCTCTCAATTTTGCCAAGGGTTGGAACACTGTGGCCAGCTTTGAGCAAAGCAAAAGATGGAAAAGAAGCTCCTAAGGATGGAAAAGTTACCACAAATCTCAGATCTTATCCTTGCTTTTGTGTCCAGCAATCCAAGACACTTCCTATTACTTTATTTCTTCTTTTATCCAAAATCATGACCATTTTCACAATAAATTGGCCATTTTAGTGCCACAATGAAGGAAGTACCCAACAATGAAGCTTTCAGTGGCTGTTGTTTGTGGAGTGTAAGGACAGTGAACATGCTTAAAAACAATTCAGTTGACAGGAAATAAAGTCCTTGGAAACAAAAAGGATTGACATTACCTGAATGATGTAGACTTCTTCTCTGCCATTATACCAGATCTCAAACTTCTTGTTATCCCCTTTTACATTTTCTGTAATGCCCACAGTGCTCATCTGTTTCAAAATAGAAAAGAAGAAGCTGGAATCTGGAAAATGTCAATAGTCTTTAAACTCAATCATCTGAGAAGCATTTTTAGAAGGCTGCATTCATTTCTGCACCTCAGGGAATCATTAAAAGCAAAATTCAGAACAAGTTAGCTCTCTGTATCTAATTTGTCATTTGTCTTTTTGGTTGCTAAGGGAAAAAAATGTTCAAAATTAACCCAAGCTGATGTTTGACCATGAATTTATCYTCTTTTCTTTTATTGCTTGATCTATGGATCAGTTTTCAACCCCATCCTGAGTCTTGTTCACCTTGACAAATTTTCAGTTTTAGGAAKACTGTTTTTTTCACTTGCCATCACTGACCTGTTGAGGTGGGAGAGAAAGAGGGATAGAACAGGGCTTTGAAGAGATTTAATGATCAATCTGCAAATCCAGATGACACAAAAAAGCTGATGAAAGTTATTTTAGATTTCTTAAATGAAAAGTTCTTCAACACAATTTTGAAGTTCAGCTGCTACTAATCARCTTCTCATCTTCTKCCTGTATTTGTTCATGCYTCTTTTCTCATTCACCTCAGCAYTRATTTAAAGATTTAGACRATGTTATGCYACCATTTGTTTTATCTCCACAGAARGAAACATGAAATATTTATATGAATTGGTTCAAGCCTTGAACCAGGTTCTGTTACAATTCCTGTCTGGGTACCCTGTAAGAAGTTTGAAACATTACACCTGGTCTGTGTTACTTGGCTAAGGTCACAAGTGTCACACCAATGTGCTTAGAGGGAAAATGCGACCTACTTGTGATTCCCACCTTAAAATGTCCTGACTCATATCTGGAAATTTCACTCCTGCAAATAAAAGAGCAGTTCTACTGCACATCTGTAGCTACTACTTCACAGAATGTATCTGCTCAACTGATGTCAATTAAACTTGCAGTAGAATTGCACTTGGAGGATACTCATAGGCAGAACAACAAGAGATGCAGGTCCATTCAGTCTGGCTTCTCTTTATGGGATGCTGGGCAGCAACTCACAAGGTACCCATTTGTATCAAGCTGCAAAGAATAGATTTACATGTGGAGTTGCAGGATATATGGCTTSRTCTGTCTCCAGCCCAAAACTAAAYRGSARMTGTCATTCATTCAGGGGTGCAAGAKAGCTCCAGATATGTGCACCTTCTTCAAATTCCCTCATGGAAACATGCTCATTTTGGGAGAGCAGAAGGCTTATTTTCCCCACCACTACCAATACTGCATTTATTACCTTTAGTGAATTTTTAAAGCTGTATGAAGCTGTCTTCTCGTGGCCATCGGTGTTCTCCTCCCGTTTCTTGCAGAAAAGCAGCATCTTTGTGTAGAGGAAGAGGTGTCTCTGCATTGGTTTGAATCTAGCCAAGTCCTTCACCTTGTTGTGCCCTTTCTTGTGGTCAGTCCAWACGTTGAAGGAGCCCTGCATCAACAGCTTGCCAAGCTCACTGACATCCCCCTGGCAAGCAAGRAAGAGAGAGAACACACAGCCCATTCAAACTGGGGTAGTTCCAAGCACAATTCCTTCCTCAGGTGGTGTTTAAGATGCCAGGCAGGGGCATCCCTTGCATTGGAGAGTGCACATCCCCTTGCTAAACCTGTGTGGTTTCTTCATATAACCATCGACCCACTGGTTTMCRTGTYCATAATTCCCAGTTTGTCTCCCCAYTCATAGTTAGCATCTAAGATCTGTCTCAGCATCTTTGGATGTGACACACAGGCTGTCTCCTCAGGTGACCTCTGAGGAAGCTTCTTCTGACCAAAACTGGATTTCAAGGCTCTTGACTCCAAATTAGCAGGAAGGCCCAGCGCAGTCCACTACCCAAACAAAGGCCTTGACTCTGGARGATCCAGTTTCAGTTTCCACTCTTGAACAAGCTTCCTCCATCCCTGGGCAAAACCTTGAAAGAGCTCAGATGCCTGAAGTCACAGATCAGTGCCCAAAGGTATGTAGGTATGTAATTGCCTCCCATTTCAAAATAGTCTTTGCAAGCTTTGTCAATAGTTTCTTGGCTCACCATCTGCAAACCATGCAGTGCTGCATGGCCCTGGGCAAAGAGGGAGTGAATGCACCAAGRAGTCATAAAAGTACCTGAGGGAGAGTGAAATTAGGCAGGAACCAGACGTTTCTAAATTAAAGYCCTTGTCTGAAGACCCCTGATGGGTAAATACTTCAACCACTATCAATATTCTGCTCAGATCTCACCAAAACCATTCCATGTTAAGAGTGGAGTAATATGTGGATAGAGGACATGGCAATGTCTACATGGTAATGGGATTCAACTTTCTGCTAAATTGCTGTAACCACATAYATTTAAACTGAGAAACACAGGAGGAAAGCTACCTTTCTCTTTGGGAATGAATRGGAAACAGTGGGAACTGGGGAGATAAAAGATGCGCTGTATCCATGAACTYCCCATGCCCACATTGACTGATTCAAGTCTGCAATAATAATATACAGGCTCTAAAGAGTTTTTCTAAAACAAATCTCTGACACACTCAGACTTAGCCCTGACCAGAACGGACTAAGGATATGATGCTTTGTTTAAGTTTGTCACGTTTGGGAGATTTAGGGTTATATTTACGACCTGTGGTGTTTCTCTGACCCGCAGTCACCGCACCAATCCAGTGTTAGCCAGCACAATGAGGTGGCCACTGCTTCACCTCCAGCCCAGTACAGCCACKGCAGGAAGAGCTCATTCTCATCCCAAATGGAATGCACAGTCCACAGGAGCATCTCCAGCTGTRTGCAGCACTGGATCTCTGACAAGCAGTTAAATTAACAAGCTGTTAAATTTATTTATAAAATCATGTTGGTAGCAGGCATGGGATCCTCAGCTACCACATGCAGATGCACTTGAACGAAAGAGAACTATAGAAATCCAAACTCCTGAGGTCACTCCCATCCTCAAGATCAGAATAAATCTTCCCAGACAGGCATTGTCTGTACAGACCCCAGTAACATCTCATGAAGTCACATTCTACAAAAATAGTTTTTCTGGATTAAGACCTATTACTTTGATGTAACAATTCTTTGAATAATTCTCAGTATGTTGTTTCTTTCTTGGTATTTTCACCCTGCAGCTATTTYAAAATGGGCAACCACATGATCCTTAGGCCTCATTTTGCCAGGCCTATTTCTCTTTATGTGTCAATCACTTCCACTTCTTACTTAAGGGCTCATTTTATGTAGTCAGCACCAGCTCTTGAAAGTCATGTTACTTCAATGGAGCTCCCACAGATACATATATTTGTGCCTCTTGATTTGTACTGTGGCTGTTATTTCACATTTCAGATAACAAGCTTGCCARTCATTGGCATAGAGTCCATTACCCACTTCAAATGAAAGCCAAATTTTCCTCTCTAAGTGCCAAAGATTGGAAAACACTTGAGTTGCACAAGAGTCACAAAGTTTCAGCAAATTTCTTAAGTTAGTTCTGTCACACTTGCACCTCTCACCTACAAATGAGTTTTGGGTGCAATTACTCAAAAGTCTTGCATTTTCCCCTCTGTGTACCCACATTCACACCCCACCTCCCCATGACGTGCTGAGATGTAATTTTGGTCATCACAAAATGCCACTGAGTGGCATCTTCAGGAATGTGGCACAGCCCCCAGTACCACGGGCACAGAACAGTCAGAGAGGACAGAAACACAGAATGGCTCAAGAGCAGAGCAGGAGCAGCAGCAGATGTTACCTCATATCCTGTGATTGCTATCTGGTGCATGGAATCATTCACTGATTTGATGATATCAAGCACTGTGGCCAGGGCTTCTTCCAATTCAGCAGTACCTTCTGAATTCTTGCTGCACTTCAGCATTTCCTGATTAAAAAAAGATATGGGAACTGYTTGAGAACATTTTATACCAGAAGACACCATAAGACACTCCTCCCTGGAATTTGTGCTGCATAGACAAAGTAGCAGAACTAAAGGAAAATAAAAGAGGAACAAAAAATCCTAAACAAAACCAAACATGACATTCACAAGAGTGATCACAGAGGACACACATTTTGATCTTTCGAACATTTTCAAGTTTTAAGGGTTCATTTGAGATGAGACAGGRCCATTCTGTCACATTTACAATGAACTCCTTGCATATCACAGAAATACATCCAGGGTTTTTTTCTTCACATCTGCTAGAAATGAAAYTCAGTATAATTATTTCAGGTGTTAGAGAATTCCCCATTTTCCTTTGCAATTATTTCCACGAGATACTTACCACCACTGTWAAAAACATAAATTAATTTCTAGCCTGAATTTAACAGGTTTGACATTTTGAGTTTGGAAGTATTTTAATCCAAAAACTGAGGGACTTGTATTCCTGCAAAACAGGGATGCAAAAAAGTAGTTCCTGCAAACACCAAACAGCAGCAGTCAGTCTCTCCTCAAGTGCTTGGGTAACCAGGGACCAGAAGATAAAAGCAGGATACATTCCTATAGTATCTGCTGCACATTTTCCAGGATGAGGATGGATCTCTGTACAGTGAGCTGCTTTTATCAGCATGAGCATATTAGCTAAACTGATTGACACCAGAGGGTTGTAATAATTGTAACCCAAAATCCAAATCCAGTCTGCCCACCAATCGAGGCACACAGCTTCTCAGGCACTTGTTTGTCACCAGTTTTTCAGTGGCTTTCATTTTTGTGCATTTTTAAATTCTCCTGCAGCCAAGGAAAGAGTGAACCATCTTCACAGAGCTCATAAACACTGACAAAGTCAATGCCAGTGCCAGTGTGTTGTTGCTAAGTACAAAACTGGTCTGACCAGCTTCAAACCCCAATGGCTGAGACCTGTTTTGCTGGAGAATTTTACTCCTTGATCTAATCTTGGGTTTATTTACAGTCATATTTCAAATGAAAAGTAAAATCTGGTTTACTCTTGCTCTTTTGGAGACTTTGGCATTTTTTTTCCTTCTCACAGAGTAGTTTCAAGAAATAAAGTCAACTATATTTCTGGACCATGTTGATGGAAACCTACTGGAATCAGAGAAGCTGCATCCTTGCCAATGTGCCCCTTCAATATTTGGATTTTATAGTTTTGCATGAAGTCAACAAGCAGCTCACAGAGATCCTGAAACAAGAATGGCCAACCAGGTCCTGCCATGGCTTATATTGGCACAATCTGAGCAGTGCCTTGGTAGCCATTAGCAAGTTAAATGGCAGTTCAAAATCTTCATTGCAAATTTCAATGCTAAATTTCATKACAGTACACTACACTACATTAAGCCCAGAGGCTTGAGAACAACATGTAATTCACCTTCATGACCTTCCCATAAGGCAAGCCAGAAAATATTATTTTTAAGAACTGAGGAGACTAAGGCAGATATTTAAGCCACCACCTCAAAAAGAAAAAAAAAGTCATTGTTTTGAGTGTATATATTTCCTGCTGCCCAGTTCAGACCAGAATTTCAAGCATGGACTACTCATGGTTCCAGCTAAATCAAGAGAGTTCACATATTCACCCTGTGGAAAAGTTACAATTTGTTCCTAGCTGTGTCTTTTAAAAGGAAGGAGCAAAAGGGAGTGGCTCCCTCTGAAAGGTTTGAGTCACAATCATGGGAAAAAATCAGAGAGTCAAGAGAGTTTTGTTAAACAGGGACAGATGTTAGGGACAAGATTTAAGGCACCAGTTCCTGTTTGCAAATTGTAAAACATATACTGATCCAATAAAGCCACGCTCAACTTCTGTTTAATGATAAATGAAAYAGTAAGACAATAAAATACTTACCATTTAAAAAAAATCTTACTKTACATAGAGAGAGCTATACATATAATAGGATACTGCTATTACTTGTAAGTAAAAGCAATCCCCAATCTATAACACCAGACCCTATACAAGACTGTTTGCTACCATTTTACAACTAAAAAATGCAAAGTATTTGCTGAAGAATTAAATGAGGATTTATTTTCAGGTAACCCTAACTAATTTGCTATTCTGGAAGTAAAAGAAGCTGTACACTGGACAATTCTTTGCACTTTCATGGAGAACTCACCTTTAGCAGCAACTGGTACTTGGTGATTCTCTGAACTGGCTTTAAGAGATAAGCATCAAGTGAGAGCTTATGATCCAATTTACGCTGACATTCCTGCAGGGGACAACACAGAAATAAAAATACAATTGCTTCTTGAAACCCAGGCAAGACACCAAGATCATTATCGTTTGACAATCTGAAGTATATAGGTCTGTGAATTAACTGAGAGAGAATTGGTTCTATCTGCATAGGAACTTCCAGGCTACTTATGCCACAGTGAGAATCTCTCTAAACAAGAGCTAATGTTTAGGTTCAGTTTGGTGTGGGGATAGCCTGCAGAGCCAAGCTCCTGCCCAGGAAATCAACCCCCTGCTCTACCCACCCAGTGTCCTGTAGAGAACACCTTAACACACACCAAGCACCTGCCAGCAGTGTAAGAAACATGCAGAAAAGTCTGTGTATTACTCTAGTTTTTCTAAAAAAATAGATACAGAAGGAAAATGAGCTTTGAGGGTCTTGCACTGCTAGTRTGCAATGAAATTCCACCTGAAARAAGATGCTGTCTCCACACTGCCTCCAGAGAGCTTCAGACCTTGGTTTGTTCTGACAGTACTTTTCATAGATTTGGAGGTCCTCCTTCTGCAAGAAAAAAAAGAGACTTCAGGTAAGGAAGGAAAAGAGAATTCAAGAAAGATGTTCTCTGTATCACACTGTTCCTCACCTTCCATCCAAAGACATGAAGTAATTTTTACATGGGAATAAACTGCACATAAAAACATACTGAAACCACCAAACCACCAACCCGAACCCCTTGCTTTTTACTTCTGATTAAATTAARTACACCTGAAAGTGAGATTTWTTTTTYCCCCCTCACTTTTTGCAYAAAGCAAGGAGACTGCAGACTGGAAGATACAATCTAATTGCAAAATTGGTATCTTTTTCAGGGAGGTCAATTGATGGTTTGGGAAAAAAAGTGAAGTATTAGAAGCATAAATCTGATCAACTATTTTATCAACAATACTGGCACAGACTGTAATTTTTAACAATTCTCACCACRTGGCTAAGGTTTGCCTGTTCCACACACTTTGAACTAGCCAACTAGTGTTGGCTCTCAATAGTATAAGGATGAATTAAAAAAGAAGTTTATCTTGTTGATGTCCCAGGCCAAAYTAGAAGTGGGTGGATTCACTTTGACTCTGTTTAGCTTTGACTGCACTTCAAGAGCTCCCACTGAGATCTATGGCAAAAATTTCACTGACTGCAGTGAAAACAGAGACAATCTTTATAGAATCCCAGAGTGGAGTGTTTTGAGCTCCCTGGGCTGTGTGGGGATGCAGAGATGGGTGTTCCTGTTCCAGGTCCTGGGTAGCCCCAAGCCCAGCAGCCACAGGGCCATGAGTGGTGCCCTGAGGCTCCTGGGCAGGGCTGGCTGTGCCCAACCAGCTGAGAGCTTCCACCTCCATCTGCACCCACCCTGCTGGATGTGACCTCATCAAATCAAAGAAATCACCAAAAATAAATCTCAGGAATTCCTGGATCTCGCCTCTGYGCTTTCAGCCCACCAGACAGTTCCCACACACTCCTGCTGCAGGGAAAGCATTTCCTTCTGTACAGTTACTAGAAAAAATAATCAGTATTGCTGCTGTCTTCCTCYACAGACCCATCCTGACATCATTCTGATGAATCATCTGAGAAATCAGAGCTGTGCCACTGCAACACCACACTACGTTAAGGATTATGCAATACAAAAACCTCCTCTGTTGCAACTAATAGAGGTTGCTGTTTCAAAATAGGTGCAGTTTTCTTCACAAAAATAGAATTGTTTGCACATGTTGCCCTGGAGGGAAGTTAGCAGGGGGTAACCCTACACAACTAAAAATAGCAACAAAGCATAATCAAGCACTRCAATCTCTTCCTGGCCCACAGAAACCTAATTGGACTGGGTAAGAAGAACAGAGACAGCAACAGTCAAGAGCATTATTAGGAATAAGAGAAAAGAACCAATTTAAACTTAAAGAAAAGGTACAATAACCACAAATTAACAGTAATTTACCACAGTGGAACCACCCTKTGCCAATGCAATCCACTGCTGCCTAAATCAGTGACACTGGCTCAGGCAGATATTTACCTTTAATTACAGCTTTGAGTTTTGCAATYGAGTTAGGAATAGAAAATTCCTGATGAAATTATCAGGCTCAGACTCTAAAATGCCAAGAATTAATTGACTGCCTAATTATTCAAATCCCAGTCTTAAATGTTCTATTCACACATCTCAATTTTCACATGAAAATGTTCTGACTTCTTGCTGATACTTTTACACCATGCTCTTCTCTCCTGCAAAGCTTTTTCTTTCCACACTGATTTGGACCCTGAGACCTCTGTAAACTCMAACGCACATGGCATATATGCACATTTCCAGTTATCCCTTTGACTGCTGATTTATTAATAATTTTTACATCAGACTAGAATTTAGCTCTTTGAACACAACTCACAGATTGCTGGTCAGCTGCTATTGTCCTTCCATACTCCATTTCTAAAAAATGCTTCCTTCTCCCTGAACGACCAAATGCCCCAACTGCTGGCTCCTACTAAATTATTCCCTTTTTTAAGGTTAGAAATATGAATAAACAGCAGTAATCCACAGTGAATCATTCCTGCCAGACACATCACCTGGCACATTTTGTAGGCAGTCTGACACACCTTTGGTTTCATCCTGGACATTCTTGCCTTGGTTTGGTCAGTTTTCCCTCTCCACAGCCCCTGGTACAGCAGATCAGCCCAGAGTGTCCCTCACATTGCTGAKAAGGCACCAGAAGACCCATTCTGCAAGGTACAGATCAGTGCAGATCCCTCCTGGCTTTGAAAGCTGTGAAATCCCTCACCACACAGGGCTTTAAGTAAGGTCAAGCATCTTGATGATGGCAAAATAGCTGCACATGTGGGCAAAGTGGAGCTGACTCACTTGTAATTKAGTTCAGGTGAAGATCATGCCCTAAATGAGGTCAGGCTAAGTAGGAGGGAGAACAAGAAAGGCATTTCTGGCTCATCTTTTACCAGATTCTGCTCCAGGAGAAAAGCCAGAGAGAGAYTCCCCAGCCTGTTTCTGCCATCACSTGAGATGCAGGGCTCACATTCATGGTGACTGCTGATCAGGTGGCAGTGGCAGAGCTGGAAGAGTCTGTGGGGACATGGCAGAGGAATGACCAGCAGGGGATGGAGTGACTCTGGCACCASAGTGTCTCATTGCAGCTCTCAGGATATTTTCAAGCAGCTCTGGAATCAGAGCTGAAAAGGCCCAGTGTGATCACACAGGGTAAAACTCTTCAAAGTATGAATCTAAAAAACCTGTCTGTTTCTAATCACAGGCCAACCCTGATGTCAGGGCAGGATGATCACACCCATACAAAAAAGGAGAACCTGCAACAATGTGAGTTTGCTCCCAGAACTCATCACTTGGAACAGCAGCTGCTTCTGCTTTTCCCTGTCATAGCAAGCACGGCCATAACTTGTGAGGCAGCCACTGCTCAGCAGGAAGGCACAAAAAGCTGCCAGATCATGGGGAACACAAACACACAACCAGACTTTTGTTTGTGCCTCCTAAAGGCAGTCCAACAGAAACAACACATTTCTGGACTTTATGTGGCTTCTTCTAAAAACAGAACATAAGGGCAAGTTTTCGAATCAAAGGTGCTACTGTGTGAGCAGAGACATCTCAAGAGAGAAGCCTGTGCTTTCTTAGTGAAATTTGAAATAGGGARAGAAGCAAATGTGAGATTTAACCTCTTATTTGATAGATTTAGTGTGGTTTGACCAGGCCACAGAAATTGATGAGTGAAGGTGACAGAGGGATTGGTCTTCTTTCACTTTGTACCCAAACCCCAGCTTTAGTGCTGTTTTCATGTTGGTAGAATAGTGAGGAGATTTGGGCTCAACAGCTGTTTCTACAGAGAGACATAAGCTACAATATTTAAATAAGGAATTTGAACCTTCTGCAGAATCATAGGAGTAATTCTATACCAAGAATTTTTATTTAGCTGCATCCTTTAGGACTGTATGAAACACATGGACTATTTTGCATTTCTAGWGTTTCAAAGGTCTGCTTTCTTCAAAGACTGCTGATCCTCTTTTGCATAATTATTTCACCACAGTATTTTCCTGCCCAGCATCTGAATCTTAGGATAACAACATATTCCTTAGTAGTGTAATTTACTCAAGCTCTGAATGCTTCTAAATTGTTAAACAGAAAATCATCCAATGGACATATAATCACATTTACRCTTGTATGATTCTCTCTAGCCTGACCTGTTTGTAAACTGGAAGCATACCCTTTGCAAGTATCACATGCTCACCATTCCCATTAAATCTGAGTAATGTGGCAGCTCTCAGCACCTCTGACTGGTTCATCCAAATCTGTCTGTATTTAATGTGTGCCCTGGAAAAGCAGCAAATGCTACACGTAGCACACAGTGGATGCAGGAGTGCAGTGGGCAGATTTTCCCCATTTCTCATGCCACTTCCATTTCCTGTGCAAAACACAGAGTCTTATTCACGCAGTTTTGACAGACTCTGAAAGCGGTAACGAACCACCAAAACAGATTTTTTTCTTATTAGCAGGGCCCCTAAACGAGTGCTATATAAAAAGCACCTTTGGTTGTATTGCAGGAAAGAACTCATGGTCAGGCTGGCTGGGGGTGGTGGCAGAGGAGGGACATCCCTGGGTGCTGTTGGAGCACCTGGGCACTGGGAGTCTCTCCCTGCAGAGGGGAGGATCCCACCTGCTGAATTTTGTGAAGAAATAAAAGGAAWCAACCTCACAGAGTCCTGTGGAGCTGGTGGGCTCCATGCAAGGACAGCAGCAGACTCTGCTGGGCCACCTAGGGGAGCAAGTGTCCTGAATGGTGCAGAGAAGAGAGAGATAAGATAAAGCAGGAACAGGATGTGTTGTCTGCACTCAGAGCAGCCTGCTCGATACCAGCACTGCTCTCTGCTTATTTATTGCAGGGTGGTGTCTGGGTTACATCAGCCACCTCCTATAGATGTGTCTGATATGAAAAGCATGTTAAACATTTGGATCACTGTTACTTGTTGGGTTTTTTCTTTTAAATGGGACTTCAAATACTTGTAAAACACTGGTAACAGATCTCTTCCTGTCAGTGAACCAGGTAAGGGGTCAGATACCACAATAAATCCTTAGTGAGTGTGGCTCAGTTTGGGAGTATCTGCTCAGAGGAGYTTCCCTCATTCACAAAATCATATGGAGTGAAAGGATAGGAGTAAATCTGTAAGTACTGTAGGATAAGACCATAGGTATTCACGAAAACCTGCAAAGGGATATACTTACCCTTTTTAAAAAGCACCTAGCAAGAAGCTCAGGGTTTTCAATGCAATTTTCTATCTCCTTGAGGAAAATCCTGAGAGGGAGAAAAAAGAACAAAGAGTAATATGAAATCCCACTCACATTGTATACTAGCTTCTGTGTGAATCCAGCCTAAAGCCTTCATTTTTGTAATATGAGGATTCAAYGGGGATTGTAACAATTCTGACACACAAAGATGTCAAAATATGTAAAAATACATATTTTTTAAAAAATGGGATGTGGCTGTCAGCTGGTTCCCTGAATCACAAATGTTATCAYGTCTTTTCTGCTCACAAGCATCTGCCACATCTGATTCCTCTGGCTGTTGAAATTTGTTTCCAACATACAGCCCAAATACCTGCTTCCCATTTGGGCACGAGGATTTTTCAGAGCAGCTAGAAAAGACAGGAACGCTCTGTCAGATGMAGTTGCTCAATCAGCAAGCAGAGAAAATATGGGATGTAGTCCAAAGGCTTCTGCAGTAACAGTCAATGCACTAAGCCTTKAGGGAAAGAAACTGGGCTTGCAAAGGGAGAGGAATATCTTTCTCCAAATGGAAGACACAATCTTTCAATATATATAAACTAGAATATATAAACTGGGGAAATCACTAGTACATGCATAAAGGGTACAATATTTCACAAAAAAGAATAGATGATCTCAGAGGTGTTCTCTCCACGTGGGTTTTACAGGGCACACACAGAGGCAGGGTGAGGATGATTTTTCCTGCCAGTGYACGTGTGAGCATGACAGAGCACCCGACAGAAAAGGGCCAAACATGATGGTAGCACCCGAGGACACAGGACAACCACCAGTTCCCACATGCCTGTTGTGGAAATCGTAGATTTCTGGGAGGTTCCCAAAGAGAATTTCCTTCTTGTTCTGAAGTGCAGATGGAATCAGATGTACTAAACTGGGATTGTCCATTTCTGAAGCATACCCCTGCAGAGAASAGCAGAAAATAAAGCCAGCCTGTTTTTAYCAGGGAASAAGTACTGTGTTYRAGACACTGGAAAGCCCCRAAGTCCATGTGCTTTTGTTCTTCACAAAGCACACAAGGCTTTTACCCAGTAACTGTGCAAACACATTTTTAACCACAAATGGACAGATTATGGGGTTAATAAAAGAAGATGAAATGATGTGTCTAAGATTCAAAGCCATTTTGGTCATGTAGAGATGGAGACTGCTAAGATTAACAGACACATATCTTTCTGCTACACGGCTTCATTGCACAAGAGTTAGTTTGGATTTATTTGTTGAACTGTGGTATTTGGCWTGACTATTTTTTTGTTTCTTGTAGAAACTGGATTGTGTTTCTTCATTAAAAACTTTGAGAGAAGAACATTGTGATTTTAAACTCAAGAGTAATTTATCAATTACCAGAGCTGCCAGCTCCCACAGACCAAATGCAATAAAAAGGCAAGCACAAGTCCTAGAAGTCYCACCCAAATATAAGCATGGTTGATACTCAGCTCCTGTCCTCCCAGGATTAGGGATCTCCGAATTCCCACACAGAGCATGCTGATATCCTGTAAGTCTCAAAAGCTCAAGAATTATATTTGCAGCATGAGCTGCTGTCTTCTGTGTTCAAGCACTACATGGGACAATGAAGAAGAGCAGGAGGAGGGCCTTTCTTTTCTTCACTCATTTTCCAAACCTACATTCACAGAATTTAGTGTCTGGCACCATAAAAATCAAGGATGCTGCTTCTGAGACCTATTGGTAATGCTTTGAAAAGACACATTATTAACAATTTCTCTGTCCGTAACTTTCAGAACCATGCAACTTGTCAATTCTGTGGGCTCARGGCAGAGAAGGTGCCTTTTCCTTTGTGCCCTGAGGAAAGCTGTTGAAAACATCCTTCCCATTCTCCATCTCCAAGGCTGAGCTATCTTGCTAACACAGTCTGTGTGTTATAAACAGGAGGTGGGAGTGCTCAGCCCATGAAGGATGTGCACCTGCACTGATGACTTAGAGGKTAAGCACCAGAAGTCATTTTAGAAGAGTTTCTTACCTCTATTATACTTTGAAGTTCTTCTACATAAACCCGTTCTGTTTCTATCAGCTCGTTGATTATATGGCTAAAAAACAAGAAAGGTAGAGAGATACAGTGTTAACAAGCACATGCAAAAGAAAAAAGATTGTATTCCATGCATATTCATGTTTATGCCTTTGACTGCACACAAAAACCCTCTGAAGGTCATTTCTCAGTGCCYCAATATTGTGTCTTGTTGATAAAAGACCTAAACACATCTTGGACTGTAATTTTTTTCAGCTCATTTTAAACTTCCTCTTGGTTTCTTCTGTCATTTCTATACCTGCAAAWTGAAAAAAAAAATTCCCAAGGGGGAAAAAGAAAAGCTTTCTCTTCTAAGAATAACTAGTAAAACTAACAACAAAATKAAAGTATACTTCAAAGCTATGCTAATGTTTGTGTTTTGTTTCTTTYATAAAATAAACAAAATCAGTGACTAGACTTCCCTTCTTTGATACATCAGCCAGACCCTTTACATCATGAATCACACCTGTACTACTGTTGCATCCACTGTTGCAAGGGGATTTCCTCATTCTCCACAATTTTTAGGATATCCTTTTTGAGATTAAAACAACAATTACACTTCTGATAAAGCCTYGTTTGAATGGTTTGGCCAAGCATTTGAAAACAAAATTGTCACATTTGCACTTGCAGCTCAAAATGCAAACACACTGACTAACACATTAGTAGGCTACTAAAATAGATTAATTGGTTTCCTTTGGATTTCCCCCATCTTTTCTCAAGAAAATGTGGTTTTGTAGGCTAGGTGGGGACCACTTATTCAGGTCACATAGACTATTACTCCTTTATGGACCACTGCTTCAGAAACATTATAAATACTGAGAATACTAGACGTGACCTTCAACTGATGTTTCAAATTTTGTTATAAAATAGCTGGGGTTTCATAGGTATCTTGACATAATGCCTTAAATTGCAGCATTTGCCACAAGGCTGGCAATGGGTGAGGGCTGTACTGGTGCTCCTGGCTGTGGGCTCCAGGTCACTCTCTCTGCTCCTCCTGAGCTGTCTCCAGTTTAGGAGACATCCRTGTGCACTGCACTAGAATGTTCCACTGCTGGTTGTGCCAGGACTGTGACAATAATCCTGWCAATTGCTGCATCATATTTTTGTTAAACGTGATCCTTGCAGCAGCTGTGTGCTGAGTTCCCCTCACTGCCCCATCACAGCCACAGAGCAGCTCTTTCAAACCCCTTTTCCCCTTTGGGATGCATGACTAGACTAGAAGTCATTTCTAGTGTAAGTGGGATGTGTGAGGTAAAGCAGCAGGGGAGAATTTCTACACTCTATTGTTCATTTATTTTGAGGTTTTTATGGCAGCAGTCCAAAACTAATAAAATTCTGAGTTGGCTGAAGTTTATGGKCAGTTCTCACAAGGCCATCTCAGAAGGGGTGGTAGAGAATCAGGCACCTGACCTAAAGATCAGAATCTAAGAAAYCCCTGAGGTCCTATCTTGGCATCCTTGCTGCTGGTGAAACTTCATTCCATTCCAGTATATTTGTACCTTCTCCAATATAACAGAGATTCACCAAATCACAAGAGTTAGCCAAAGGAAGAATATTCTGCTTCCAGTTGCATCTGACTCAGTAGCTTTCCTGACATGGAAACAAYGATGTCAAACACTTCTCAGGAGGTCAGGGCCAGCTTTCCCTTTGTGGAGGGAATTAAATGTGTCCTAGCAGAGGGAACTCAGCCAGCAGTGACCTGGCAAAGCACTGTGTATGGCAGGGCCTCTGCTGCCACCATCACTCGACAGAATTAGGATGTGTTTGTGGCTGGGATCACACACAGACTCACTGATAGGATGTTGTCAGATGTTCCTCCAGCACAGGAAACTTCTTGGTATGGAACAAAATTGAAATGCATGAACTAGCTCACATTTCAYTGAATGATTGATCTGGGTTTCTAATGAAACATTGTGGCCACATGTCCCACAAGTGGGATTTTACAGAGGTGTCATTTGGGCAGCTTTATCTCACTTCAGCAGCCATGACATCCTGTGGCCCTGCAGCACCACTGAGATCTCACGCACTGACCCAGTTTCCACCACTCCCAGCTTTGAWAAACCCTGCAGTGCCATCACTATAAGGACGATAAGAAAGGAGAAAGYAATAAGAAAACTATTTCTACTTTGTCAATAGTGCTGTCTCTGACATCTGGCTAGTTAGACATGCCATGCTGCGGTGAAGAAAAAAGAATATTTCACAAAGGATGCTCTTCAGCAAGGGGGAGAATGTAGAAACTGCAATGGACAACAAAGCACTGGGAAAAGACCCGTTTTTAGCCAAAGCTGCAAGTGAAATCTTGAAACTGAAGTAAACTCTGGTCTTAATTTTCACCTTTAGAAATGCATTTCTCTTTCAGCCCCTACCTGTGCTGGTATTTAGATCAAAGGTAGCTATTTATATTATTATTGTTATTGCACTTTGGACTGTGCAAATAGCAATTAGCAATGCTGTTGCTATAACTATAAACTTAYCCTGCACTGTATTGTTTTGTTGCAATAAAACGCCATCAATAGGTGTTTATCTGAGCTTCTTCTGGTAACTGAGAGCACACTTCTAGGAAGGTCCTCCCCACAGAGACCATAAAACAGACTCATAGCAGACCATTTCACCTAAGTAACTCCTCCTCCTTCCTTCTTTAATAACAGAAGGAAACAGAAACATAATTGAATGACTGACCAAGCACYCCAGGGCTGTCAGGTCATTCTGCAAGTCTGTACCACCGTAATTTTGGTGGGAGCAGTGTCAGATGGTTTCTCTGCTGTGCTATGTGCTGCCTTAAAAAACCCCATGGAATATAATGAAACACTAAGCAGGAATATTATCTAGAGATTACCACAACCTATTAATATTTCTTCTGGCTGAATCTCAATGGCTTTGTGCTCATACAGTTACTATTTGTGCATCATGTTCAGATGGCAACATAAACCAATGCAGGATTTTTGTTTCCACAGCTGTGTTTCTCTAACAAACTCATCGGCTCWCCTCCATTCACAGATCCTGTTTCTACGCCAGGATTTCCTATCACAGGTGCCCGTCCTAATAAGGAGTCTTTTCTCAGAAGAGGACCTGAAGCCATCCATTAGAATTAAACCAGTGAGCTTTTCTCAAAAGAACCCCCACCAGAAATCATAACTAGTGCCCCAAAATTATTGTGATGCAGAAAATCTGACTGCATGACAGATGTGGAACCAGCAGAAGTGGCACTTGTGCATGAGTTCGCCATATCTGTCTTGCAAAAACACATGGTGCATAGTAAATGAAACATGAATATCTTGAACAGCCAGGACAACAGAAAAAGRGTATGCAACAGCAAAATATTTAATAAATTAATAAAACCCTACTGTTAGAAATATATCTAATATAGAGATCTACTTAAATTGAAAATACTGTCTCCCTTTAATACCCAGGGCTTCAAGCACAATAGAAAGGACTGAAAGAACCTGTAGGCAGTGCAATGAAAATATAAACACAGAATAAATATCAACATTGGATAGGCTTGGACTTAAGTAAAGTGAGAGTGAATAATTTACTGGCTTGCAAAAAATGAGCACAGTGGTGAAAACCTCCTTGGTCCACCATCCTGGTTAGTTCTAAGTGTTGTGAAATTTCTACTTCTCAATGTAATAAAAATTTAAGCAAATTACATATTTTTTAATCTTCTTTGTAGGTAGTAAATTATGAAAATCTCACTGTTTCAGTAGAAACAGAATCAGCAATAAATATCACATCCAGTTTTGAATTAGAAATCACTACAAGAAATTCAAAGATTGGTCTGATTGTAAAATCTCAAAATTATCTTGGCACTATGGAATGCAAAGAAATGACAGCATGTCAGTAGCTAAGTAAAASAAACTCCCATTCCACCTACATAATTGCATTTAAGAGGAATTTTTTTTGTTTCTCACAGTGCTAAAAATGCCTTTTTCTGTAGAAAAGTATTCTCAACTGAGGTTGTGCAACAGCTCAAATGAAATTTGAGTAATGAGTCAGTCACTGTACTTTACCTCCTAAAATGGAATAAAAGATCATTCAGGACGTAAGAACATTTGTATCAACAGGACTTTGTATTTGTTAGTTGATACAGAAAACAATTCTGATTTCTCTGCCATATAGTCTTTTTTTTTTTTTTTTCCTTTCCAATGAGAGCAATGCCTTGAAAGAATGATTGCTCCTAAAGTGCATTTCGTGGCTGCAAACAAACCCCAGCTAAGTTTGAGAAGCATAAAGGATTCGGGTAGTACACTCCACCTCATCTCAAAATTAGWGCCCTTTACTGAAGATATTGCAATTGCCTGCTGCAATGTTAAATGGATTTGCTCCAGCTGTTATGGAAGTTCTTCTGAGAAGGACTGCATATTTGTTAGAAATAGATTTCACCATCAAAGTCACCATTTATATTATTTTGCTTCTTCTGAAATGATCTGAACTCTTCATATAAAAGGAATTGTCCCACATTCATTGTTCCCAAAACAAATKACCTTGGGGAAATATTTTTATATATCTTAATTAGTTGACCTACATTAGAGGAACCAGAGCATAGTTGTTAATGGAGAGGCAAATTAAATCACCTACAGAAAGRAATAATATGAATAGAGGACTAAAAGTCACGCAGGAGTTGTTTCTCATCCCAACTGTGCATCTACACTGAGAAGATGYATCTCTGATCCCAAATCTGAGCTAGCTTTAGACAATGTGGATGCTGCAGATTGGTCTTTACTGTGGGACAAAACAACAGGCCACGTAGCTGTGTTCATATTTGTCAACTACCCATATTTGTGACCTGCCCATCAAGGCCCACCCACCTCGTGATTTTGGTCTTAATCTTGCAGCTGCACTGTTCCTGTTTGGTGAAAAAGATATATTTAGCTCTGTGATATCTCAGCACTGAGTAAGCAATTAGCTAAGAGARGGTGAATAATTTATGTATGAAAATAATGTAACTGCTGAGAGTTGTTAGTGTTAGGTCATATTCTAGCAGATTGTAGTATGTTGGTAGTAGATTGAGATCCATAGTAGCTA